AGAGAAGATGTGCCGCCTGTATGAAGACCAAATGAACGAGGCTAAAGCCAAGGGGGAGGAGCTCCAGAGGCAGCTCAACGACACCACTACCCAGAAGGCCCGTGCTCAGGCTGAGAGCGGTAAGGAGCATTCATGTTATCATAAACCTTACAAACTGATTTGAAAGACCCGGTACTAATACAGGTACCTTTTTCTCCATGATGTAGCCGAGGTGGGCAGGAAACTTGAAGAGCGCGAGTCCACGGTCTCACAGCTCCAGCGAGCCAAGAACTCCTACAGCCAGAATGTGGAGGAGCTCAAGAAACAGCTGGAGGAGGAGAACAAGGCTAAGAACGCCCTGGCCCATGCACTGCAGTCATCTCGACACGACTGTGACCTTCTGAGAGAGCAGTACGACGAGGAGCAGGAGAACAAGGCTGAGTTGCAGAGAGGTCTGTCCAAGGCTAATGCCGAGGTGGCTCAGTGGAGGACTAAGTATGAAACTGACGCCATCCAGAGGACCGAGGAGCTGGAGGAAGCCAAGTGAGTTGGATTTGTTTTCAACGTACAGAATTCGACGAATATGCAGTGATGCTTTGAACAATGAGAGTTACATGTGGCTACCTCTCAATAGGAAGAAGCTGGTGACGCGTCTGCAGGACGCTGAAGAAACGGTGGAGGCTACAAATGCCAAGTGCTCCTCCCTGGAGAAGACTAAACATCGGCTCCAGACAGAGATCGAGGACCTGGTCATTGATCTGGAGCGCTCCAATGCTGCAGCTGCTGCGCTGGACAAGAAGCAGCGCAACTTTGACAAGGTATGGCAACTAATATAGAGGGTACATGTGCAATCACCCAATGTAGTCAGATACATTGTAATCCATTTTTGCATATGTTTTGGTGACAATAGTACTGGGTTATGGTCTCATGTACAGCCAGGCCAACTCCTGATTTGTTCTCAAAAGCAAACATGTGTCTTATTCCTCAAGGTGCTGGCTGAGTGGAAACAGAAGTATGAAGAGTGCCAGTCAGAGCTGGAGGGATCTCAAAAAGAGTCTCGCAGCCTGAGCACTGAGCTCTTCAAACTGAAGAACTCATATGAAGAGTCTCTGGATCATCTGGAGACGATGAAGAGGGAGAACAAGAACCTCCAAGGTACCTGTCGTCACATCATATTCACTTCCATAGTGAATATGATCGTTACCTTGACTTTATATACGATATATATAAATGTTTATCTCTCTACTTCCCTAGAGGAGATCTCTGACCTGTCTGATCAAATCAGTCAGGGAGTGAAGACCATCCACGAGCTGGAGAAAATAAAGAAGGGTCTGGACTTGGAGAAAAGCGAGATTCAAGCTGCTCTGGAGGAAGCTGAAGTAAGCACTTCCTCTTTCTTATTTTTCTTTTCTGGCACGGTTGACCCACAACACATATTCAAGCATTAAGTATCTGTCTCTCTGTCTCAGGGCACTCTGGAGCATGAAGAAAGCAAAACTCTGCGCATCCAGCTGGAGCTTAACCAGATCAAGTCAGAGGTTGACAGAAAGCTGGCGGAGAAGGATGAGGAAATTGACAGCCTTCGGTAAATTGTGTTGATTACTTGTTTCATCTTTCTTTGTAGTAAATCATCCCATTGGCCATCCCATACTAACAATTCTCTCTCCATTATCTCTTTCAACTTGTAGCCGTAACCACCAGAGAATGCTGGAGTCCCTGCAGGCTAATTTGGATGCAGAGGCGAGGTCTCGCAACGAGGCTGTGCGCCTGAGGAAGAAGATGGAGGGCGACCTCAACGAGATGGAGGTGCAGCTGAGTCATGCCAACAGGCAGGCTGCAGAGTCCCAGAAACTCCTGAGAAACCTGCAGGTTCAGATCAAAGTGAGTCCATCTGGCATCCTCCTAATAAACCTAACCTGTGGTGCAACATTCATTAGCAAATGCCACACATTCAACCCCTCTGACCGTACACTTGTGCCTCCAGGACATTCAGTTGGAGCTGGATGACACCACTCACCAGAACGAGGAGCTGAAGGAGCAGGTTGCAGTGACGGAGCGCCGCAACAACCTCCTGGGTGCGGAGGTGGAGGAGCTCAGGGCTCTGCTGGAGCAGAACGACCGGGCACGCAAGCTAGCTGAGCACGAACTGCTGGAGGCCACCGAGAGAGTCAACCTGTTGCACTCTCAGGTAGGAAGGAGGATTTAACACCACCCTGCAGGGCCTTTAGAAAAAGGATGCCTCCATAAACAAATCATCAAAAGAATGGACACTTACCTTCAGTCGATCGGTATGATGGGGTTCATTTGTCAAGCTAGCCAGTATGTGTGGTTGTTAGCTGAAAATAGTTAGCAAAAGTATGTTTTTCTCGCCTGTATGTTATTGTCTGGTTCAGCTGCTCTGACTGCGTAATCCCAACTAGTGGTTACCAAATGACAAAAATCCAAATGACAAAAATCTAAATCCGAAACAAGATAAACTGAAATTTCAATCCTAACATTATTTGTTAAATCTCTCTCGCTGCAGAATACTGGACTGATCAACCACAAGAAGAAGCTGGAGAACGATCTGTCCACGCTGTCAAATGAGGTGGACGATGCCGTGCAGGAGTGCCGTAATGCCGAGGAGAAGGCCAAAAAGGCCATCACTGACGTAAGAAATGGAGTAAACATTTACACTACAGAATGGAATGTATCTGAAGGGTGTTTGCTAGTAATCAGGTTGACCTGTTTGTAACATTCAGCTATTTGGTATTTATTCTCAGATTACTTGTAATGTTCATCTCTGATCCTTTGTTTGATTGTAGGCAGCCATGATGGCCGAGGAGCTGAAGAAGGAGCAGGACACCAGCTCCCATCTGGAGAGGATGAAGAAGAACATGGAGCAGACCATAAAGGATCTGCAGATGCGTCTGGACGAAGCTGAGCAGATCGCCCTCAAGGGCGGCAAGAAGCAGGTCCAGAAGCTGGAGGCCAGGGTGAGAGATGAGACGAATTCAAGAACTGTGAAGCCCCTATCATATCACACCCGATAATACATGTAATGGGAAGTTTATGTGTAATAAGTGGATTTCCTGCTCTTTCTGGTAGGTCAAAGAACTGGAGAATGAAATGGAGTTAGAGCAAAAGAAGAGCCAGGAGTATCAGAAGGGAGTACGCAAGTACGAGAGGAGAATCAAAGAGCTCTCCTACCAGGTAAACCAACACTGTTTGCACATAAGACATGCCAAGGTATGGAAATATGAATGAATGTTTTTTTACATACGTTGTGTGTGCAGGCTGATGAAGACAAGAAGAACCTGATCCGCATGCAGGACCTCATCGACAAGCTGCAGGTCAAAGTGAAGAGTTACAAGAGACAGACTGAAGAAGCGGTGAGTTAACAATCAGAAGTTTAACAATTCTGTACGCTCGCTGATGAATGCTTGAATAACCAACGAGCCTCCCGTCTCCTCCTCTCTGCAGGAGGAGCAGGCGAACACCAGCCTCTCCAAGTACAGGAAGCTGCAGCACGAGCTGGATGACGCCGCGGAGAGGGCTGATACGGCCGAAACGCAGGTCAACAAGCTCCGCGTCCGCACCCGTGACCAAGGAAGCAAGGTTCGCAAACTAAATACATTCGATATTACAGCATGCTTCAAAATTGAATGACCTTTTAGAAGAATTTATTAAAATTAGCCAGCAGGCTTCAGTACAAGAACATATCTGAGAGCAGACGATGTAACCCTCTGTCGAAGATGACCTCATAGCCCTCTCATGTGATCTGAGTGCGGTCATGAGTAACATGTGACACTGTGTATGTGGTTGCTAATAAACACCCGTGTCTTGTGTATTGCAGCACGCTGAGTGATGTGAGGGCGGACGCTGCAGCCAGACATTTCACAGCCAGCCAGCTGCAACAGCTGTGCTCCACTGTGATCCCAAATAAAGGCTTCAAATGTCGACTTTAAATACGACTGCTCTTGTTTTTTGTTTGTGTGAATATGTGATAAAGATAGAAATCCCACAAGGAAGGTCTAAAGAAGAATTTATTATATTATTAATTTGACAAACAGCTGTTAAATAAGAAAAAATGAAGTTAAATACCAGCATTAGAGGGGGAACATGTGGGTGAAAGTGGGTTACAGAAGGAGTTATGGTCTGCTTGTTTGATGGTCAAACAGGGTTAGAAGGAGATTAAGACTGAAGGGTGCAGAGGTGAAATTTAAAACACAAAAACATGGAGATTGTATGCATAATTCAACACATGAAGAAAAACATAGGTTATCTAAAAGGATTTCACACCATGAATATTATCCACTGTCCGCATCTGTTGGTCAACAAACACTATGGGTAAATCAGTGAGACACAATCATTCGATCAAAGAAGCACCTCACCGTCCACGTTTAGGACCGGGTGCAAAATGTGTCCTCCTCGTTCCAAACATCACATAAATCTCCTTTAAATAAAGTCAAAGCATCAGGGATCTAAAGCAAACCAAATAGTGTTAACACAAACACTGTGCAGCTAGTTTTTGGCCAAAGGGAAAAACATTTCACCATTTTCTAAACAAACAAAAAAGGATGAAATCTAAGGCCTACGAGGAGCAGATCACACCACATACAGCATTAAGTGTTGAGGACCAAATCTCTTGTGCATCAGACAGAGGGTTCACTCTCTCTGAACAATTCAGATCACAAAGCTACAGAAGTCAGGATTGTTTATATAGAGCGCTCACAACATTCATGTTTTATACCGATAGCCTCATTGACTTCCATGGTGAATGACCGGAGTGAGACGAGGAGATTGGGATCAATGATAACACACGATCAGCACTAACACCACCGCAGTTACCCTGTGTCAAATCACATCATGTTATCAAGAAACCAGCGGAGTTATCTCGGGCATTCAGCAAAAGAAAATTGAGAATTTTCTAAGAGAGAAGCACTTCAAAGCACAAAAGATGAACTAATTCAAAGTATGTGCACACCCATCAAGATTTAAGACATGCTGAATGAAAGCTAGGAAAAAAAACAGAGGAAACATTTCTGGTTAATCAGCTTTAAAGCAAATAAAAGGCTTTCAAAGTGTAAAAGGACGTTTGTGTTTGCATCCCAAGGCGGCATAGCACTAGCAACTCATGGCATCAACTGTAGAAATGCCCTTATACATTCACATGAACATTTATTATGACTCATGACATGCTCAGAGGAAAACTGTACACTTGTCATCAGAAGTGGTTTTGGATCTGTACGGATAAAATATGAGGTAGCTCATCCATTTGTACTTATCTGTTCAATTTGAGACACCAAATCTTTCCTTTTCCATAAAAACAGCTGCTCGTGAACACACTGTCGACACAGCTGCGCTCACTGCTTCATCGTTATCTAGATTCAAGATCGAGTGGTGCCATGCAAGGAAAAAAGAGCCATCGCATAGAAAGATTGTCATTCTCAGCGTGTAGTCAAAGGTTTGCGGAGCCCAGAGACAGAAGGCCGATTCACATAAACTCTGGACTGGAACAATGAAAGTGGTATTTTAACACTAGCGCCTGCATAGTTTATTCTCTTCCCAAAGCATCTCTCACAACATGGATACAAAGTCCGTTACAAAATGAAAAGGTTTTTTTTTTTAATCAACAAAAAAAGTGGTAAAATATAATAAACAATAAAAACAATTTAATCTGTGCAAGGTTTTATTCTACAGTTTAACCAGAAAGCTAAAAAGTCATTGTTTTTTCTTTTTAAACAAGACATCAAGGAAATCAACAAAATAATAAGAAAGGAGTCCCTGGGTGAAACGTCTGAAGCCACGACAGAGTGGAGGGTTTCAGATGAGAGCCCCGTGCGTGTGTGCTTGTGTGACATGTTAGCCGGCCCACAAGCTACCTTAAATGTGCAGAGTAGAGCCAGAGAGCACAGATTAAAAAAAAAGCCACCTAATTAAAAACAGACCCATAGACAGGTTCAATGTAGATGCTGTTCATTGAGAAGACACCTGCAAAAAAAGAAAAAAGGGCAGCAGAGGGTGTAGGTAGTGGGAGAGGGAGAGAGTCCTGGGTCACGGCTCAAGCTGTGGTCCCTTCCAAAGCCAGTCCACGTGAAAAGGATATTTTTTTCGAACATATACTTTGTTGAATCATACATATTTTTTTCATAGAATTTTGTATAGGTTATATAAAAGGCTCTATTGGACCTAAAGCAAACAACCAATGTATGTGTCATTTTGCAATGTCCTTTAATTGTCTGTTAAACCATGTGTGGGGGGGGGTGTGGGTTTCTTAGTGAGAAGGTGACAGCCGGAGCGCTTAATGTCTCCGTTCATACAGACGGGAAACAGCCGAGTCTTTTCATCCGGAACGCAGTGAAGCCCCCGGACGGCTCGGAGGAGTCGGCACCAGCTTCAGGTGTCCATGCTCCCTGTGACCGTCTGCACTCCCCCCCAACCCCGCCGCCCCCGGAGGTCAATCCTCCAGCAGGTCTTTGTCCAGATCCATGTAGGGCTCGTCAATGTAGCTCGCTATGGCACACAGAGAAGTCCTGTCGGAGCCCAGCAGCACCGACACCGTCTCCTTCCAGTAGCTGAAGGGGATGCAGGAGCTCTGAGAGGAGGGACAACAAAACTCTTTAGTTTACCCAATGCTCATTATTGACAGTATCTTTATTGCTAGCTAACCACAGAGGGATGTAATAGATAGTAGCTGCAAATAGCTGTCAAGTTAGGCACACTCAGCTGATTACTAATCCATTTACCCTTTTTTTATTTGTATTCTGTCAGTTCAACCAAAGCTAAAATAATAAGCCAATACAAATGTGAAAAAACAGATAGCCATACTATTAAAAAGGACAATAATTTCCCCATCGCGCTTTCACACAAAGTACTTTGCCGTACTTAGTTCATCAGAACTCTTTAGTTCTGATGAACTAAAGAGCAGATCGCGTTCACAACGGAATAAGTCCCTGGGGGTGGATTAGGCAAATGAAGCCGCTGACGTCACTTCTTCTTCTTCTGCTTTGGGTTTACTGGCAGGCCGCAAACAACTTCACGGCGTATACTGCAGCCCGAAGTCCCCGGAGTTGGGGACTGGCTCCAGTAGAAGCTGCTGGGAGTCCCAGCAGCTTCTACTGGAGCCTTCCGAGTAAATCGCCAGAACGCCGACACCTCCTCATCTCCACCGCTCCCATGTTTTCTTTTGTGTTGCCATAAGTTAGTCTCTCTGCGTTTGTGCGCTGGGCTAATGCTAATAATGCTAATGCGAGGATAATAAAATGGCGGGAGTTTTACGGGGCGTGGTTTGCAATCCGCCCAGCCAATCAGAAATGGGAACCTTTTTCTCCCACGAAAGTACCTGCTCTCTAGCAGGGACGGAAAAGGGGGTGGAAAGGTTCGGATCAACTAATATAAGTTTTAGTTGCGGATTTTTTTGGTGTGAACGCACATTTTCGGAACTATATCGGAAATATACTGGGAAAAGTACTCCAGTGTGAAAGCTCCTTTTGTACCTTGAATTATATCTAGAACCTTGGAATTAAAATAAACATTTAAAGCATTTTCCCCCAGATGAGTCCATAGCCGCGTTCACACCGAGTATTTTTCACCCGTACTTTTTGCGTTTAGTTCCGTTAGTACCCCTGATGTCGCGTTCACACCAAAAAAATAACTAAGTGCCGGGAACTTTTCACCCCATTTTTAGAGCCTGCTGAGAGCAGGTACTTTCCTGGGGAAAAAAAGTACCACAGTTCTGATTGGCTGGGCGATTGCAAACCACGGCCCGCAAAACTCTGAAATGTTTTGAAGAGCCGCCATTTTATTATCCTTGCATTAGCATTATTAGCATTAGCCCAGCGCACCAACGGAGAGAGACTAACTTATGGCAACACAAAAGAAAACATGGGAGCGGTGGAGATGAGGAGGTGTCGGCGTTCTGGCGATTTACTCAGAAGGCTTCAGTAGAAGCCAGTCCCCAACTCCGGGGACTTCCAGCCGGGAACTTCGGGTGGCAGTATACGCCGTGAGGTGGTTTACGGCCTGCCAGTAAATCCAAAGCAGAAGAAGAAGAAGTGACGTCAGCGGCTTCATTTGCGTAATCCTCCCTCAGGGAACTTATTCCGGTGTGAACGCGATCGGCTCTTAGTTCCATAGGGGAACTAAGAGCAGGGAACTAAGAGCAGGGAACTAAGTGCTGGGAACTAAGTGCTGGGAACTAAGTGCTGGGAACTAAGTGCTGGGAACTAAGTGCAGGGAACTAAGTGCAGGGAACTAAGTGCTGGGAACTAACTACGGCAAAGTACTTGGTGTGAACACGGCTCATGTTTCTATGTGAGCCCTGAGGGGACAATACATGCCATATTCCTGGTTCCCTGCACACAAAATGAATACACCCCCAAAATCAATGTGGTGGTTCATTGACACATCCCAGAAAGTGATACATAATTCCGACTTTAATTCTTTAGCTTCAAATTATTAAAATGCATGGGTATAGGTAGTAATGATATAGACCTTTAACTCTGTGATGGTGGAATGTAATACAATTATTATTAAGTACTTTTAAGGTACATTTCTTATGCAGAAATTCTTTCAGCCACTTGGGGGCAGCAGAACAAACAAACACTGTTGACATCACTATATAAAGCTAAATGATAAATGATGCAAATCTACTTTAGCTGGTTACTAACTGTATCTGCTGTTTCCTGCTGGACCAGTAGCATACACACTGAAAACATCTGCGTGTTACAGCTGGTGAGAGCCAAAAACAGTGAAATAACCAAAATGGAAGATTCTTATCAGCTAATCAGTAATGTTTAGTTTCATCACAAAAGGTCTAAAAGGATCAGGTGTGCAAGTTGCTTTTAAGCTCACGTGTCAGAATGATTTGAATATGCGACTGAACATAAACGTCGTCACGAGAGGGGACTTCCACATCACGCTGCGACTTGTTTGTGTATCAGTTATGTTCATGAGAGAGGGACAGCACTCACGTTCTCCAGACAGGTGCTGTCTTTGTCCTTGTTGAGGTAGTGGCGCTGCCAGAAGCGCAGAAGGTTGTGGAAGTTGTTGAGCAGACAGCCCGGGTACTTCTCAGCGTACTCCTTCTCCCGCAGGGCGTTGAGGTAGAAGGGCAGTTTAGCCTTTCTTCTGGCCAACATCAGGACCACCAAACTGGTGTTTAAACAGCTCACATTCTCCTGCAGCAAACATGGGATGCAGGAATGGATGTAGAAAGAAACAAGATTTGAGTTAGTCGAATAATTCCTTGTTGAACACAAGAGTTTCTGTTAAAGAGGCACTCTTTTATGCTTTTGGGGTTTTTTCTTTCTGGTCGTGTGTTATTTAGGTTTTTGTGCATGTTAACCAATCACAGCAGACTGCGCTCTGGTTTCAGACAGAGGCTAAAAAAGAGATACTGCCAGTGTTTCCGCCAGACCAGGGCTGAGAGGGCGTCCACCCCGAGAGCGGGGGGGGGGGGGGGGGGGGGGGGGGAGAGGGGTTGTGTGATGTCACGTTGTGTCACGTGACTTGAATTTTGAATTGAGCCGTCCCTTAAGTTATAGATACTAGACTTGTTTGAGATGAGCGAGACCGACGCAGACCTGCGCAATTGCGATCCCCGTCTTGCTAGTGCATTGCATGATGGTGAGTAATTTTGTCCGGCTTGCTCTGGAGGCTCGCAGTTCCTCTCCACGGGCAGCAGAAGCTAAATGCTTGATGGAAACGACTCGCTGGTATCTCGAGCTGAGCGCTCATTGGTGGTTTTTACCACGTGCTGCTGATGAAACTCTCCAATTGGCTCGGCAAAAGTTTGTTGTTGTTTTGTGTCAGTTTTACGTCGCCACATCCATTCCCATTTTTCATCATTGTTCCACAATGTTTATCATCATGAAATTAATATCTATATATTTTATACTATACTGCTTACCGTTTTCATACTTTATATATCTTAGCATATTCATACACACTGTTCATACTGCTCACAGGCTGCTGTGTATATCTAGTGTATTCATACCCCTCACTGTTTATTCATCATTCAATATTTTATTCTGTCTATTGTGTACATTACTTTTCACTTTACTGCTTGTTGCACCTGGTTAGAAGCTAAACTGCATTTCGTTGTCTCAGTACCTGTAATATGTGCAATAACAATAAAGTTGAATCTAATCTTGAGCAGGAACAAATGTATTTACTTAGTACATATCTGACATTAACGATTAAACACATGTGTGCATTCTTTATAAATGCAAACCAAGTCAAGCAGACTCCGGAGGTGGCGGTATGCACTTTAAAGTTGTTTGCAATCTGCCAAAAAACCAGGAGAAGAAGAAGAAGCCGACTCCGAGCAGTCCGAATTCAGGCGAGCTTTTTGAGACCTCCCCCGGCTGAGATCGGCTATTCTCGTCTACTTTCGAGGCGAGCCGCAACGCGTCTCAAACAAGCCTACTATCTCTTTACGTATCAGTGATGGGAATTCCGGCTCTTTTTAGTGAGCCGAATCATTTGGCTCGGCTCACTAAGAAGAGCCGTCTCTTTCGGCTCCTAAACGGCTCGTCATGTTACCACCTCAGTTTCGCCGCTGCGAGGCTCCGGCGCTCGCAGTTCACGTGCGTGCTCTACTAGCACCCCTCGTCAAGGCTCGCCGACAGTACACTTTCCGTCACAGGAACACGCTTTGCTGGCGGCAAAAATAATCTCACCAGACTCCTTCGCCCCTCCAACAAAGGGATGTCCTTTTTCCTTTGTCATTTCAAGCGACAAAAACTCTCGATCTTCTCTCAAATTATTTATTTTTTTGGACGCCCTCGCCTCGAGTTCAGAGCGTCAAATGACGGCAAGACGCCCCACTGGCGGAAACGCTGGGTACTGCAGCACAGGCAGTATGAGAAAATAAAACCTTTTTGAACATTAAAGCTTGGAGACATGTCAAAGTAAAGGCAGAAAATAAAATGTATAATATAATAGCATAATATGTCCTCTTTAATAAAGGTCCAAAGAGAAAATGAAACCAGACCTGTGTGAGCGTCTGTACGTTGATGATGTTGACGAGTCGAAAGAGGAAGGCCAGCCTGTTCTCAACCTTGGCCATGTAGGACAGCAGACAGCATTCAGAGAGCACCTCCACCACTGGGAAATAAAACACTTAAATCAACACTTGAAAATAATAGTAAATGACCTAAAACACTATTGTAAATAGACCTATATCAAACACAAGTTATCAGATCTACCTATGACTGGATAATTGTCTGCAATCACTCCCTGATGGGCATTTGTAATGTTCCTTTTCCAAATCACACTAATTATTTTTAGATAGAATAGAACATATCTCAGTTTTCAATGTCAAGGATGGAAAATGCTACGATTCCACTGTTTTATTGCCTCGCATCACAAAAACATACACAAACTCATTCCCATACGGAGCCTTCTTCAGAGCGTTTTGCATTAATTATATAGTGTAAATTCGAAAGGGCTTAACAAAACGGGAATAAGGACCGGAATATAAAAGTCAATATCAATGACCAATCAATCGAAACCCGGGATTTCTTTCATTAACCAAGTATCTTAACATTTATTTTCTAAGCGACGAGTCAACATGATTTATTTTTCAAGCCCTGTTCACCTTTGACATCTTCAGTCTGGCTCTCGAAGCGGTCCAATGAGAGGGTGATGCAGCGCACCAGCATGTTGGAGTCCACCAGAGAGCTGTTGATCTGCGTCAGGAAGGTCTGAAACTACAGAGGAAACTAAACTATCAAACACATGTGTTCATCCACAACACACGCAGAGAACTAGTAACATTGAATTTGTAGGGACAGCGTATACATTTTGGTCATACTTTTTCTGGTGTGTTGACATATTTGTTGAATCTTTTGAAGGCATCAATGTTGAACTTCATGAGCTCTCCCAGCAGATCAAAGTAGCTCTGCAGGACGTCTCGAGACGTACAGCCGCTGTCTATGATGCAAAACAGGATGTGCTGTCGAGAGACGGAAACACAGAGTGAGCAGTCGTTCATTCAAAAGGTCAGAAGCAAAGACAGTCTGTGTCATGTGGACTGTCTTCATGGGATGTGGTGATAGTCTTACCTCTAGTAGACCTCTCTTCAGGAGGAACATTTGGTCTGCATAGGAGGTGGCTCCTCTGAGAAAACTTTCCACTGCCCTTGCCTGCCAGAATCTGCATACACAACAGAAAGCTTCAGCAAAATAAAGAAGCAGAACTAGAGAAACATGTTGAGAAATACTCTTAAGAATAGCAGGATTCTTGGAGCTAACTGTAATATCCAGGGTTCATACACTCTTTCCCCAATGATTTTCCATGACCGTTACCTCGTTTTCCATGACCAAAAACATGACTCTTTCTCAGCGGTACCACTGAAAATGGTTTATTTTAACATGGAACAGGAAAATAAGGTCTGCAGGTTGTGCCCATCTAAAACAAAATCTCTCACTAGCAAAATACCTCGTCAGTTAAATGACATTTTACGTTTCATTACTATACAGTATTTATTATCATTATAGTATTACTATTTCGGCGATTAGATCAAATATAAATTATATTTGATGCAACTTTGGTTACATTTCCATGACTTTTCCAGGTTTTTAATGACCGTAAGAACCCTGAATAACTCTATATAACAAATCACCTCTGGCTGGCATAGTTTCTCTTGGACTTAAAATCACACTGTACATTTTACATTGATATATTCAGTTTAATATTCCATCCGTCACATACTTATGATAACAACTTGCTTTACATCTTGTTAATTTGTAAATTCAACATTTTCTACTTTCTTGTTTATTTCTAGTCTTTTAATTTTTATTGTACAATGCCATGTCTTTTTATGCTGCTGCAACACAAACATTTATCAAATTGGGATCAACAAAGTAACTCTCTTATCTTAAAGGTGGGGTAGGTAAGAATGGAGAAACCAGCTCGAGTGCACTAGAATTTGAAAATACACAACCGGAAAAAATCTGCCCCTTCCTTCAGACTTCCTCACAGAGCCCCTCCTCCAACACACACGAACGCGCACATGACCAATGAGGGCACGAGATAAGTTTGTGCACAGATGATAAAATGATTAGTCGTGCGACCAAAGCGACTTACATACTCAATACTGTGGGCAATCCCCACAGGAGCAATTTGGGGTGAAGTGTCTTGCCCAGGGACACAACGACATGCTGACTGCAGTGGGGTTTGAACCTGTGACCCCCTGATCCAAACACCACCGCTCTATCCACTGCGCCACACGCCTCCCATGTGATGAATGTGAGTGTGTGTCCTGACCTGAATGAGGAGTCTGGGGGCTCCCTCTTCATGACGGTGAGCAGGCGTGTGAGGAGCCCCTTCTTCCCGTCACACACCAGGCTCCTGTCTGTGTTCACCAGCGCCTCCACCTCGGGGATGTTCGCCTTCATCGATATGGCACTCAGTTCATTCAGCTCCTGGCTGTTCAGCAGGAGGTATTTGTTCCTGGAAGACACGGCACACAATTTAACACACAAAGCTATACAAGTTTGATTCATAATGTTGACAGATCAACATGCAGAGCTTCTTCAATTTTTAAATGTCTGTTTATGCTGTTTGAAGCTGGTATTTTGCACAGATAAAGATGATCACTAATAACATTTGTATAATGCTATTTGTAGAATTAGATTCAAGTGGTGGCTGTGTGACCCGTGAGATGAAAACATTTCCAAGAACTCAATGCCGTGTTCATTCCAACAGTCAAAATGTAATAAACAAAGATAGATGTATACTCATTTCCATAATGTCTAACATGCAAGTTATTCTTTATATTCATTTGTTCTTTTAAAAACAACATTTTAACGAAGGTCAAACACATTTTTGCACTTTATGCACACAAACTAATCACACAGCTGTTTAAACGAGGCGGTATAGAAGTAAACAAAACACTTATAAAACCACAATAACACAAAATCTATTATTACAGCTCGACAAGTATATTTATAAAAAAAATATGTTTATAGAGTGCCGTAGTGACGCGTCCTAAAACCCGGAAGTAAACTCCTTCCGGTTCCTTCGACAAAAAAGCAATGGGATTTTGTAAAATAGCTGGAAATAAGGTCTGTGGTTGAAACACATTTAAGAGACGGATCACGTTTTGTTCAGCCGGATAATCTCCACATGCCTATCCTACTTTTATAATTTTTGAATCGTAACTCTAGTCGCCAGAAGCAAAATGCTAACGTTATGCTATAAAGGAACTACAGCAGGGTCGCTGCTTCAACGTCACGCCAACTTAAGATCCATATTCAAAACTACCGATTAAAAATTCTTCAAGTTGAAGCGTTTGTTTGAACAGTTTTCAGGAGGCAGGGACTTGCTTTCAAGCAGAACAGGGCAAACAAACTTAGCGGGAGTGTTTACGTGTTCGGCGTAATGACGTACAACGGCCTCGACAATTTCTGTAGTCCTATTCAGCCACTTGTTAACAACCATCGTTTTTCAGACACGTCAACTCTTCAGAAATCACCAGTAGGGTCACTGCTGATGGATTTAATGTGGTAGAACAAAACGTAATCCGTCTCTTCAATGTGTCTCAACCACAGAGCTTAGTTCCAGCTATTTTCTAAAATCCTATGGAGAAATTGCTTTTTTGTCGAGGGAACCGGAAGTGGTCAAATGCTAACTTACTTCCGGGTTATAGGACGCGTCACTGTGGCACTCTATTGTGAAGACATGTTGAGATACGACAATAGACATTCAAAGCTTCCTTAGGAAGAACTTTGAAAGAGGCTTCAAACGCTTCTCAACAAACATAACTTGAAAAAGAGAAATCAGATTAAAGATCATTCCAAGGGTTACTCACTCGTGGTGATCACTGAAACTCTGAAGTAGCCTCAAGAACTGGATCTTAAAGGATATTTCCTGCACAATCAAAAATGAAGGGTTTTAATGTTTATGTTCCATTTTTAGTTTAATTGAATTGCTCACATCCAGTTTCAAAGTGATTTAAAGCTCATACTGGACTACAGTCGCAGTTCTCGTTCTGCCCGTGGACCACGTGGTTGGAGGCCGTGTATTTCCTCCAGATGAGCTTGTCGAACAGGTTGTTGAGTCCCGGGATGAGACGAAACTCAGCCAGCATCTTATGGACCTGAACACACACACACACACACTTTAACTCTGCCTTGATTTAACCCTCCAGTGTAAATGTGAAGCATGGGAGGAATGCGTGCGGTTACCTGGTTCCTCTGTCGGCCCATCAGAAGGACACACAGCACGTACAGCACCTCCACTTTGTACATGATCTCATGGACGATCTTCATGGACTGAGGCAGTCGATGTCTCAGAGGACTGGTGGCCAGGGAACTCTCATCTGATGACTCTGGAGGGGAGGAAAACATTACATTACATGTTAGACGCTTTTATCCAAAGCGACTGGGCAATCCCCACAAGAGCAAGGGACATAACGACATGCTGATTGCAATGGGACTCAAATTTGCTACCCCCTGATTCGAAGTTCAGCGCACTACCCACTGAGCCACAGCCTCCCACATGTTTATATATCAAAGTTCTTAGTATTTTGAGCAATGTGAAGAAGCATCGGCCCGCATTGGCTAATCCGTCGCTACTTCCTCACTGCGAGTGGGACCCAGGTTTCCCTCAACAGAAACACACCCGTTTGCTGTCCTGGCTACAAAATAAAGGGCCATCTCCCCATAGAATTCAGGAGAGAAGAAGATCTATGCATTTTCTCTGAAACCCCACCTATTTTGAATGCACCTTGGCCAATAATACATTTAAATTCTCCCTTCTGTATGTGGCACTTACAGTTTGGCTCTTTGAAAGCTTTTGTACATATATTTAGCTTTTTGAGTGTGTATCTTTCTGAAGGGATCTACTGATAGACTTTATTAGGCCTGGCAGCCATTGATCACACACGTAGAGAAATGCAAGCTGGATTTAACACTTTGAAGACGTTTAGATTAGGGATGGGAATTTGAAAGCAAATGTATATTCGAATATTTGACTCCCAAAAAAACGGTTAACCGATTAACTGAAATGTACATATCCTATAAAAAAAAAAATGTGGGAAAAATGTTGACAAAAAATGAATTAATTAATTTTGAAAAATAAATAAATACTTGTTCAAATAAGTACAGAAACCAAGTCGAATTTGTCAAATGTATTGAACTGGTGATCACACTTTGAACAGTTGACAGCTAGGCCTACAGCTTTCATGCTTAAAACATAACTTGGTTTTTAAATGAAAGAGGGATCATACACGAACAACATAACGGGTTAGGGTAACGTAACCCTATTACAACAGAGATCAACAACCTGTAACAGGCCTATGCACAGAATGCAGCTATTCAATACTCATTCTTGTTTAAGAATTTGAGCATGTCTACTCAGGGGAGAGGCGGGTGCGGAGACGATTCACAATCAGGCCAGCTGTAGAGAAGACCCTCTCAGCTGGAATTTGGGCATAAGATGAGGTTTGTGATCTGCGTGTAGTAGAGATGTTAAGATTCACCGATTCGCATCGGTGCACCGGCATAAACGTTCAAGATGCGAGTGCACCGGTTGAAAGAGTGCACATCGGCTACAGTTTGGGTTGAACCGGGTTGAACTCGCGATGCATCGATGGCGTAGCGTCTTTGCATCGGTAAAAAACCGATTCATTCATATAAAATCCCCTCATCTTGTCAACGCTCAGCAGAGACGATCTTTGATATTTGCTTTGCCACTACGGAGGCCGAGAGTCTCAGTTATCAACACACACGGAAGTTGAGGAGAAAGAGAAACACAGCGCACTGAAAAATACCTACAAATCAAACGTTTGGCAACACTTCGGATTGTTCAAGAAAGACGGTGTAATAGTCCTTTATGCTACATAGTTGACCGCAGGTCATGGAGAGTAATAAGGTATCCGTAGACCTTTGTATGAGGTATCTTTATTACTTAACAGGTCTACAGCCATGATACATAGATCCGTCCTAGATGCGGGCTTGTATACACACAGTATCACTCCGCAGCCGCACCCCATCAGTAACGTCCTGATGGTATATGTGCGCGGCACTATATACTACAGACGGTCAACTTGAAAAATCGCTCGCAAATTGTTAACGATGCCGAGCCGCTTTAAAGTACACAAGTAGTACGAGGAACTTAGCGACGCACATAAAGAGTCGACATGGGGTCTGCGGCTGAAAAGAGAAACCTCAAAGTTAGACATATGAGTTAAATCACTCAGTGAGGTGTTCTGTCAGAGAGAGTGGTGTTTAGTTTACAGCAGCCTGTGACTGCCAATAATAGTTTACATGTCTTCCTTACTGTAAGCAGTTATGAAATACCTGTTTGTGAAAGGTTATTTTCTTTATTGTTCATATAGAACCCACTGCTTTCTGCTCACTGGTGAGTCAGCCTATGAATGAGTGTTAAGCACATCAGGCAGCAGCTGTATGGGCATTGCTCTATGGTAGCTGTTATTTGCACATTGTTAATCATGAGCAATGCATCCTTACATTGTTTAACTGTGAGGTGTTATACAATTGTACTCTGGAAAGCTTTTAAAGGCAAAAAAATAAACGGCATGATGGGATGTGCAGTACCAAATATATAAAGCACTTTTTTGTTAATGTATGATTTGCTGCATATAAGGAATAAAACAAAAATCCTCTGTCGTACCATATTGAAGTATTATTTTTTGCATCGTGTTGAATCGTATCGCACCGAATCGCATAATGTTGAATCAAATCGTATCGAACTGTATCGCAACAGGGGTGAATCGTATCGTATCGCATCGCCTGGTGTTTCAAATGTATCGTTAATGTATCGTATCGTGGCAACGTATCGAGATGCGCATCGCATCGGCCTCAGTGATGGAGATGCACATCCCTAGCGTGTAGGGAGGGGCAGCAGCCATATCATTAGCTAGAACTAGCTAGATCTGATGGATTTGGACATAAACGCGAGTGAAGTATAACCGTGAGGGACCAGTGAGCGGAGCAAAACACACCTTTAGACCTAACACACTTAGCTATTGCACTGTCGTATACATTGAATTATTCCATTTGATCATATGTAATCAACTTAGGCACCCCTCCCAAAATTACGATAAAAATATTCATAACTCATATTCGACTACCTGAATAATTTTGAATACTCGATTAATCGTTCCCATCCCTAGTTAAATTTGAGTGTTGCTTTTGTGTCTATTATGAGAACTTGTATACTCATCTCATTTGTTTTTTCTTTTTTCAAAATGCTCTATGTATTTATCACTTACTTTCACTTTTTATTTAGTTGTTTTCTTCCAAGCTGGGATGGGGGTGAGGGGTATATTTGATCTGCTTTTTTGGCAGTTTGGTTGAAATGTGCACTTTTGCATCTACTGTATGTATTTGACTGCTATATGACATTCTGTATGATTTTTCTTTGTGTTAAAAGCGCTAAATAAAAAGGGATTGTAATGAACCAGCAGCACAGCAGTGTCTCGTCTCACCTGTACTGCTTTGTTCCGCCTCCTCTGTGGCCATCTGCATGAGGGCGTCCAGCACCAGCGCGTTGTCCAGCCACGTGTACCAGTCCTCCAGCTCCTGCAGGAAGTTCGCTCCGGTGGCTTCAGACACCTTTCTAGTGGCCAGCTTACACAGACGCTCTATGAAGCCGGGGATGTTCAGCAGGGTAACTAGAGGAGGATTGAGATTGATATTTGATCAGAATCAGAATACTTGAATTATCTAAGGGCAACATTGTGACCGTCAAAAATCGTATCATAAAAATGCTTATATAAACATGAGTTAAAATAACAATCTGCAATAACGTAAAAATAGAATAATTATATTTGTATAAACATAAGAACTTAAAATTAAAAATGTCCAGTAAAAGATCAAATGAAACAAATCTATGAATAGATTAAAAATGATAATAATGATTAAAAATATTAGAAATAAATATCTAACCTGAATAAATAAAGTATATGTATAATAGTATAAGTTAAAGTAAAAATGTCCAGTATAAACATATTATAAAATATGTAAACATTAAAAGTGAGCACATTGTACTACAATATACAGTTTCGCATGTTCATTGCAATATCTACAGTGGTGCATTGGTTTTAAACATTGAAGAGATTAAAAGGGTTTGGCTGCTGATGGTTTAATCCCTCCTGGTGCCAGTCTATTTTCTCAGAGTGCCTGAGGGTTATTAAGTTATATGGCCACAGGCAGCAAAGACTTCCTGTGGTACATCTTAGTGGAATGAGTCCATTATTGATCCACTCTTTTACAGTGGAGCAAAATACATATCAGCGTGGACTCAGAACCCTGAACTCAACCCACCCTGGTTGACCTCGGCCCGCGAGGGGCTGGCGATGCGTTTCTGCTGGGCGTTTTTGGCCAACAGGGTGTGCTTGTCGTCGTTTCCCACATCAGGTTCTGAGATGGTGACGGACAGGATGCGGCAGAAGTTGGCGAGCTGCTGTTGGTCGAAGCTTTGGACCAGGCCGGACAGGTTGGGGATGCCCTCTAAATGGATCATCTCCTGGAAAATGCACAGTTAAAAAAAACTCTTAGCAAACTGAAAGCACAGAAATCTGTCATTTATCACTTTACCAGTTTTGGGACTGAACCTGACGAACTCTGTTTCTTCATTTAAGCTTCTCAACACTCAAATGTAGTTTAAATGTTGGCCATGAGGGTTGTGCAGTGCACTACTGTAGGTCGCCATTGTCAGTAGGTTTGTCTGTGTATATGGGTATCTGCAAACGGTCTATATGTACATACAGGGTTCCTGCAGGTTTCACCAACTCAAATGTAAGACTTTTTAAGACCACTTTGAATAGAATAAGACCTATTTCACGGCAAGAAAGTATGAAGGAAAATTGCTATGAAAGAAGAAATACGTCCCATAATTACTTACAAAGTAAATGTATTCATGTTCAACATAAGAACGATGACTGAACACAACAGCATACAGAACTGTGTTAGCGTGTTAGACAAAAATTGTGTGTGTGTGTGTCAAGAGCTATATTCAGAGCTCTGCTGTCTTCATGCTGTTGTATGATTGGTGCTACGGTATTTAGCGTCCACAGCACCTCCGCTTTTAGGGTTGACGTAGACCCAAACGTCGCCCGGAGGTCCCCCGATGTTGTTGCAGGAGCTGCTGCACTAGCCAACGCTGCATTAGCAAAACAAACGCTAATTTTGTTTGCAAAAGGTGCAGCGGGCTTCAAACACGTTCCCTCCACTGGTTTCAACCAAGCACTAAATTCAATGTTTTCCAACCAAATACAGTTGAACTTACACTTCCCAATATGTATTTGTAAGTAGATTCGAAGATACCTGAGTTTCTGACTGCCGCTAGCTGAAGCTTGGTTGGTTGCTAGGTTACTAGCTGGGTGTTCTCCGTTCGCCGGGGGAAACAAAGTTAGTGATTACTGGTTCCATGTTGATTTAATTCAATACAGATTGTTGTGGGGAACTGAAAGGCTCTTACCGTCCAGGTTACTTTGCAGCCCGGACATTTCCCCCAAAACACATTTAGACGCGATCGCAACACAGAAGTACCTTTCAAATCCCATCATTTTTAAGACCTTCTGAATCATATTTAAGACCTTACTTATTTTTTTGATCATATTTAAGACTTTTTAAGGCCTTAAATTCTGATTATCAAATGTAATACTTTTTAAGACCCCGCGGGAACCCTGAACATAGCCATCTGTTATTATATAAATGTAAATATAGTGTGTATGATTTTTGTATCTTTGTGGAACAGCAGGACAGAGACAGAAGAAATGTCCTTGCGGGGACAATAAAGTATATCGTTTGGTATCATATTTCAAATTCATTTTTATATGCTGAATACCCTGTGAGGTTTTGCCCATTGTTGTGACCTAAAAAGTACAATTGTATAAAGTATTATATTTGCTTTTGAAGGTTACATCATAGATGTCTCCGTTTTAAATTATTTCAACAAGTCAACTACAAAAGATCAAGAGAATACATTGTTGTCAAACTGCTCCTTGCTGTCTTTACATCACTTCACAATAAGAGAACCAGAAATATGAAGGGAGGAAAAACAAAGCAACCCCATTTTTGCCATCGATATGAAGCTCAGACTTGTAGATTATTAAAATGCACAAGCTACAACAACAGTGTCTACAAACTCTCCACATGCAGCTTCAGGGAGTAGCACTTTTAAAACATTTAAAGATTTAGTAACGCACATAATGTATAAAGAAAGCAGAAACACAGACTATGGAGTTCAATGTTTTTAAAGTAAGCTGAACAATTAAAAAATGTCCACGATACAGAGCTAAACAAATGATATGTATTTTAAAATGTTCAAGAATGTCAAGAGAAGTTGAAGAAGATTGAAGATTCAACTTATTGTCATTACGTAGTACAGGTACTGTGACGAAATGGTTTCTCTGCATTTGACCCATCCTAGTGTTAGGAGCAGTGGGCTGCCATTATGTACGGCGCCCGGGGAGCAGTGTAGGGAACGGTGCCTTGCTCAGGGACACCTCGGTAGCACTTGGTCTTTCCGGGACTTGAACTGGTGACCTTCCAGTTGCCAAGCTTGAAGCCAAGTCCCTATGGACTTCGCCACCACCGCTCATTTCAAGCTGAAAACAGCATGCTTCTAATATTAGAGCATAGGTGTGATGTTTGCAGCTCTGCAAGGCACAACCATTCCGGCATGAGCGGCGTTTGAACATGGACAGCAGAGAGTTGTAACATAACAAGACGCATGTATCAGGTGAGCAAAGATTTAAAGGCTCGTAAAACTCAACGTCTGTTGCTGGTTTGACAAATGAGTCACGGCTGCACAAATCACAAAGTAACCTTTTCATTTCCGAGGTGCCATAAACAAATACAAGTTTAACTCTGACCTTTTTGACTCCGAGAATATCTTCAATTAGAGTAGCGGTCTGTAGGAAGGTCTTCTTGTTTGTCATCAGGGTGAAGAGAAACAGAACAAAGTCATCCCTCGCTGCCAGGCTCTTTGTGACCCCCTCCGTCTGTGAATTGATACAAATAAAATGAGCAGTTTAAATCATGCACATTCCTGACTGTAATGTTGTTTTAGAAATATAAACGGCACAAACGCACTGCAAAACGGCAACTTCTAGTTACACACACGCGCTACATTGAAGCACGGTTTGATGCACCTCTGACATTTCTCTGGCATTTACCAAATGTAACAGGATACTTACACATATACAACAGTTGTAGAGAACACTAAGGCAGTCCTTGACCAAGTCATCATTCACTGTGGGAACAGAAACACACACGTTGTAGTCAAATTGAGAACTTATCATGAATTTAAAATCCATTATATTCAATGTGTTAACTTCCCAGTAAAAGCAGATATATTCACAAATGTGAAGTCACAACTTACTATTGGGTTTTTTCTTCTGCATAGTTAATGTGGGTCTCATCAAGATCTCCACAAGCAGCTTCAGGGAAATAGAGAAATTGGTATTCAGTGCTGTGAGCAAATACTAGTAAGTGCTGTGCTACACATCACGACAGATTCTCCAGTAGGAAGCCTCTGTACGTCGTCCAATAATTACAGAGAGTCAAGAACCAGGAATGTCCAACTTACATCGACTCCACCGAAGAGGTCAAAGGTGTACGTGTTGGGGAAGGTGGATTCCTGAGCGGTCTTCCTGTCCTCCGTAACGAAAGACATGGCCTCCATGGAGAGCTGGGATGATAATACCTGACAAAAACACATTGACTACATGTAAAGAAAAGTTCCAAAGTAAAAACACTCACACACACAAATGGCAGGAACGAGTAATTCCACGACTAGTACTACAAGTGTTGTGAAGGTACCTTAAGAAAGCTGTGGGCCTGGGAGAGATCACTGTTGGGATGGCTGCTCTCGTGGAGCCTCTGCAGCAGCGCGGGGATGCCATGCCACTTGGCTCGTTTATCTCTCTCCTGGAGCAGGCCTCCTGGTAGCTAGGACACGCAAACAGAGGTAACCTTAAAACCTTAACCAAGTGCAATAGACACAGTGACAAATGTATGGGTGTTTGCATTTGCATTCAGACAAGTGAATGCCAGTCTGGAATCCTGAGAACATTTGATATGTTTGGTCAGCTGTTTGTGTGAGTTTGTCGCCCTGATTGCCATCTGTCCTGCACAATGTTCTCTAGCCGCTCCTTTTAGTGGCTTTATGCCTGATTCAAGTGTTGAATTGGCAGCGGAGCTCTTTGGGGAGACAAATCACTATGATTGGCTGTTCAGTTAAGCAAATCAGTGTGCGAGAAAAGAAACGCACACGATGTAAACAAACAAAGTCTCTTGTCATTGCTCATCTCCATCTCATCAACAACATCGCAGCCTTGAGCCTAAGTGGTGAGGGTGAGTGTTGTGAAAGGCGCCAACAAACACTGCTAGAAAACTCAGATCATTTGTAACACTGGAAAACCTGTGTGAAACTTTTAACAGACAAAAGGTCTCAGATAGTAGGAAGGCTGTGAGTCACTTTAAATAAGATTACTTAAGGAAATCCTTAGTTCATGTAGCACAATACTGCAACAAGGAGAACAGAAACTAAAAGTAGCTTCAGCTGATTTGTATTATATGCCTGGCTGTAAAATCTAAAACTTGTTGACAAGAGAATTGTAACTTCGCTCAAAGTCAACAGGTGTAAAAGTCATGCGGAGAAAAGCCATAAAGGAACAGCTGAATCTTGAAGTTAAAGCCAGCAATAAATAATGTGGCTTTTTTTATTTTAAAGGATGCAGGAGAAGAGAAGACGTCTTCTATATTTGACTAATCTATTTATTAAACCACCAAGTATGCTTTTCTGAATGGTGTCAATTGCCATCATCCCTGTTGAAGCCATTAAAAACAAAAAGGTGTGACAGCATCGTGACTTTTTAAGATATGCCTGAATTACATGAAACATCTTGACCTTGCATTGCTCTCAGTGGAATGGGAATGTTCAAAATGTTGTGCACAGATTCCTGATGGTTATAAAGGGAGACCATTTATAGAGTTTGGAGATCACTTCCTCAATAGAGCTTATTAGTTTGATCCCAGCAATGCTCCAATTGTCAACACCCACACAAATGGTGCTCAACTACCTTGGTATTTGTATGCCAATAATTTTGTACTTTTAATTGAGTAACATTTTGAATGCAGGACTTTTATTGTAACAGAGTATTCCTACACTCTGGTACTTCTACTTTTCAAGATCTTGTACTTCTCCCACCTCTGTCAGTGTTAGATAAAAACCAACCGAACAAATATATGCTCCAAAGTAACACATATCGGTTAAATGGTGCTGTATTTCCATGCAGGAAATACAAATAAACCTGCCAAGTGTAAGTAGTGCAGACAGCTGCCTCTCCATGTAAGGGAACGGTAGTTATTGTGGTTTGCGTCGTTACGTCATCACCTGAGCTGTTCAGCTGGCTTAGCTAGCTAACGTTAGCTGACGTTGGCTAGCATTAGCAAACGTTACTGCGGTTTACTACATGATTTAAGCGATTATGAAATGTAACAATGCGCTATCTGGTATCACTTATTCCCTTACTATCTCATAAAAACCATAACAGTATGCCAACATACCAGATCAGAGCGTTACGTAGCGTAATTACTGGCATATAATGCTAAGCTAATTCACTGCTAACAACAAAAGACCAACTTGAAGCGGAGCTTGCTTCACACACTTTGTTCGAATGCAAACGTTATTTGCCTCGTCAGCGAGCAAATATCATTATCCAACAGTCAATAATGTCAAAGCTTAGCGTTTGCATTTGTAAAACACCCTATTAATGTTGTAGCTAGCTGTAAAGCCGAAGCTGACACGAGCGACTAGAGCTCCATCAAGTCTCCCCGACAGCGTCTTCATGTTCGGGCTGCATTCCAGCCGCAAGCCCCTGGTCTCAGTGGACCAGCGTTCATGTGCCTTTACTGTCAAAACATGCAGTGTTTCTCTTACCTGCGTCCCTCGACTGAACCCCTGGCCGGTGATTTTACTAGCCGTGAACTTAGTGACGATATTGCCAGTGCAATGTCTTCGTTTTCCTCCAGTACAGGGGGACTCGGACCCCATAAGCGTCGCCATTATTTCTTCTTCCTGAACTGAGCTGCTCGGCAGGAAGTGGAAGGCTTTGATGAATTACTGGAGGTAATGAAGCGGCATCTGCTGGCGGAGTTGCACACTGTGCGAGAAGTGGCTTCAGTGGTGTGTGCATGCATACTCTATTGTGGTTTTAATGGTTTTGGTTTAAATGGTTTTGCACGATCTAATAATACACAAACAGATAACAAATGACAAGCAGTGACGGGCGAGGCAAACAACCCATTAGGCTTATTTAAAGCCTCTACCTAAATAATGTAAAAAAACACAATGTTCTATAAAACACAAGATCAATATACAAACAATTGCTTGAATTCAACATATACTATACTTAACATTTTAACAAAATAACACTCAAACCAGGCATATTTTTGGGTGATTTTCGTTTATTTTTGAACTGGACAGACCTCCATCCGTTTCAGGGGAACAAAGATCTGGAATGACCTTCAAATCATAGGCGGAGTTTGACATTTGCGCTTGGGGGGGCAAACCTTTTTTACTGACGTCAGTACACAGTCCCAACCATTACGTGGGGCGCTACGGATACAGTATCAATAAAACCAGCGTTCACCGCACTGAGTATGACTTTTCCACATACAACAACTCGTCTCGTCATGCACGCCTCATGCACGCCTTATGCCCGCCGTACACACACTCATATGGAAGGGGCGGTCTCTCCCCCCAACAACAGTGCATTACATCTGTAAAACTTATCATAACTGTGCACATCTTATACTTATTTGATAACTACTATATCCCTTGGTTACTTGAATACGCTACAATATTATTAACCAGTGTCCTACTTAGTGCAGAAGTAGACGCCTTAAACGTCCCAGAAATTGGACGTTTTAAAAATCGCCGCATATCTTATTGTAATACAATAGCTGAATCACTTGTATGTAAAAAAAAAAAGCGAGGGAACTTGTGTCCTTAACGTCATATGTCACACACACACATCACACACGTCACAAAATGCGACTGCTCAAAAATGAAATTATTTCAAACAAAATATGATATTATTCAGATTTGTATTGTAACAATCATTATATTACATCTATTAAAATATTGATATACGAAATATTTGTATTGGAACAGTTTTAGAAGTAGTAATGCTGTAACATATTTCAGCCACTAGGGGGGGCAATGTCCCCCCTGCCCCCCCGCAAAATCCGCCTATGCTTCAAATCCAACACAACCTTGCTGCATTGCCAAGGAAATCAGGCCAGGCCAGTGTTTATTATTATTTTCAAATGTTCCAAAAATATTTTTATTGGATTCCAATAACACAACCATGACGACAATCATATACAGTATAACAAGAATAATATTTACATTTTTCATATGGCATTTAAACAGCATGCTCATATGTGGTTATAAATAAGGACATAGACAGTGGCAAGAAAAGTAGACTAAAACCTTTGGAATAACCTTAATTTATGTATATTTGTTCTAAAATATAGTCTGATCTTCACCTCAGTTGCAATATTCAACAATCTGTTTGAACTAATAGCACACCAATTATTGTTTGGTTCTTGTCCATATTGAATACATAATTCAGACAGCAGTGTAGATTGGAAAAAGTGTGTGAATCCCTAGACTTCAACAAGAGCTAGGAGATAACAATGTCACAGCATGTTCATATGTAGTTATAAATCAGGACACACATTCCATTTTTTAAACCAAATGAGATCACTGACTATGAGCTCACTCCTCCACTCTTTAAAACAAACACATTCTTCTTGCTGACAGACACTTTTTCACCATAGACTGTATAAATAAAGCTCCAAACATTGTAGTGTCTCAGCCCTCGTGCCCCTCCATGACCTCTCTCTATGGCTAGCCCAAACGGCAGCTGAGCCATGACAGTGTGTGGCTTCACTTTATCTGTGAGACTTGTTCCAGGCTGACCCTCTGTCTCTCCTCATGTGTCCCAGCTGTGATCATTGCCCTCTGTCATCTGTAGGTACGAGGTGATGGCCTCCCTCAGCCCCTCGCTCACCAGAGAGTTGTCTGACTCTGTCCTCTTCCTCCTGAAGATCGCTGACCTGGAGGAGACAAGACAGGAGGTTCAAAAGGGCTCATTGCAAATGTGCAATGCGACTATAATAATAATAATACATTTTATTTTTAGGCGCCTTTCATGACACCCAAGGACACCGTACAATTTGTTTAAAAAAAAAAACGCTAATAGGCAACAGAACATGATAAAAACACAAACAGGAAATCATGGAGGAGACAGTCAAGTGGACACAAATGAAACATATAATGGGGAGCACTACAGTGAGTAAGCAGATTTGAACAGGTGGGTTTTTAATGACCCTGACATGGATAGAATGCTTCTAACTGGTGCGTAAATTTACAGTAATTGTTATGGGCTGCATTTTGTAGCTTTTATTTATCTGACGTATAGGTTAAAGAAACATCAGTGCAGGAACATTCTGCTCTATGCTATTACACACTGTCAACTCGTCTGTCAGATAACCACAGTGTTATCTGTTGGATTGTCTGTTAGTGTTTGCACACATTTCTCCTGAGTTATGGACCTGGTATAGGGGGACAAAACGTCAGGGAAAGAAGATTGATTTCCAGCCCAAATGCAGAAAACAGAGTCTAACTTGTGGTAAGGGTATTAGTTTTCTACATTTTGACTTTATTCTCTAAATCGTTTTTTTATTTTATTAGCAATATTTTGTACTTTATCCTCAAAATGGTATTTAAACCTATTCATGACAATTTTGACTTTATTCTTTACATATCTTCTTCACTACTACTACTACGCCTTGCCCTCTCTAACTGTCCCTAATTACGGCTTATTTTACTCAGCACTGAAGCACAAACGTCAGTACAGTTGAATCAGTGTCTGAAGATAATAAGCTTCATCAGGTTTGTTAACCACCAGGTGCTCATGCTCTACGGAAATAGAGTGACATCTTGTGGCAGTCGTCAGTAGGAGCTAAAGAGAGTCTGCCTCACCTGCTGATGTCCTTCCAGTTGATAGTCGGCCTCCTGATGGTTATGGGTACAGGCCTGTCCTCTGTGGGGTTGTCTAAACCCTGGATGTGGCACGGCCCCGTCAGCCGGACACACAGCCCTCCTGCTGATTCTGTGATGGAGAAAAAACATTTTAGTGTCTTACTTTTAAAGAAGTCTCTGGTGAATTCAGGAATGAGCATTATATCCTGAGTGCAGACCTGAGTAGTGTTCCACCAGGTGATGCAGGGAGGGGAAGGTGACCCCTGGAGAGATGTAGACCCAGCCGTTTTCGAGCTGAGGGATTCGGTAGTGCTTTACACTGTCCAGGTACGAAGAGCTGTTCCTACTCAGCACAGACAGCGAGAAACAATCTAAACAAAGAGACAGCACACAGAGGCAGCAGTTCAACTACACAGCTCTTGAGTCTTCATTTAGAAATATATACAAGTACAGATTTGTTTCCCCTAGCCTTCCAAAATCATGAGTCAAGTTGTTTCTAAGGGCACTTAAAGGAATACTTTACCCCCAAAATGATTATATGTGTATCAATTACTCACCCCGTGTTAACCTTATTCATAAAGAAAACGTTATGGCCGGCCTTCATGATGAACAAAGAGCCCAAAAACGTAGAAAATCCTCAAAATAAATGTATGATATAAATATACATTGTAGTGTATATTTATATCATATAATTCAAATTGAAGCTAACACAGGGAAGTCATTTATACACACATGATCATTTTGGGGTTACTTTTTTCTTTACGCCTTCAACATTGTTGTGCCTTGGTTGAATATGTTTCAGTGGAAGAAACAGAAGCAGCGCTCTGACCTCTGTTTGACTCTGACTCTCGGATCATGAAGGCTCCACTCTGGTTCTGAGGCCGCATCAGCAGCTCCACCGCCTTGTACCTGCTGATGTCTTTGAACAGCCACCTGCACAGAGAAGAGAGACACAGTGAGTCAATGAGAACAACATAGGTTGTTTTTCAAGTTAGGAAAACCCCACTGAAACAGAAACAGCATATTCCCCACTGGAGGAGGGCTGCAGGCAGGGGCTGATGTCAGAAAACATGAGGCTTGTTCCAACCTTCTTTCTCCCACGACACCTCCCACCTGCCGGGGGACTCCCCACCTCTCATCTCACTTCTCCTCTGCTGCTGCCAGTGGGGTGGCAAGTACATTTACTCAAGTACTGTACTTAAAGGTGGGGTATGTCATTTTGGAGAAACCAGCTAGAGTGCACTAGAATTTGAAAGTACACGACCGGAAAAAATCTGCCACTTCCTTCAGACTTCCTCACAGAGCCCCTCCTCCAACACACACAAACGCGCACATGACCAATGAGGGCACGAGATAAGTTTGTGCCCCGATGGAAGGCTGACAGGCAGGTAGGCCATCCAGTCATTTTAGCCGGGCCGGCTCAGATGATTGGTCGTGCTTTTTACAGCGCCACAGCTTCCATTTATTATCAAAGCATTTAATATACTCGTTGCTATCGGGATGTTAAGAGCATTCCATGGAATATAATAAAAAGTGGTTCTGAAATAAATTACACACCCCACCTTTAAGTTCAACTTTTAGGGACTTCAAATGAGTATAAAAAATTCCTTTCAACTTTGTACTTCCACCCCACTACAAATAAGAGGTAAATGGTGTGCTTTTACTCTACTTCGTTTATTTAACACCTTTAGTTATTTTCCAGATTCTAAATAATATTGTCAAAAATAATCAACTCTTAAATCAGACTTTAGTTCCACCTGGAGTAAATTCACAAGCTACCCTGCAGTATACAAAGTGATTAAAACTAGCTGCACCTTCACCAGCTTTGATAACACTTTAACGATCAATGATTATAATCAAAACATATATTTCATCCAAGCCAATCTGCAAAAAGAGTACTTTTGGTGCTTAACATTTATTTGGATGCCGATACCTTTGTACTTTTACTTGAGTAACATTTTGAATGCAGGACGTTTTACTTGTAACACCTCTGGCTGCTGCTGACACACACACACACACACACACACACACACACACACACACACACACACACACACACACACACACACACACACACACACACACACACACACACATATCCATGTTCTCCTGACAGTGACCCACCTGTGTGTCACCTTGGCGGTGTAGGTGGTGGGGATGTAGCTCTCAAGGCCCGTGGTGGTGGATCTGACCATCAGAAAGTCACCGTCACTGTTGGAGAGAACAGGCGGTCATGAGTAGCTGTACAGGTGAGAATAAAAGGTGAAAGTGATTATAAAAGCTTCACGTACTCTGACAGGACGGTTACTTGTTCTCCGATGCACATTGTTAATTCTGTACTCTCAAAGGACGGGTAGTTACAGAGGGAGACAATCACGCTGTCCTGCGGCGCTGCAGAGAGAAGAAGGAGAGGCATGTTGTTACGCTTTTCTGTTTGATTTTCTGTGGGGATGACTTTGGTGCAGTGTTGAAAGAAGTACTCCTCTACTTAAGTTAAAGTACAAATGCTACAGTATGGTCTTTGAATACTCCAATGATTATAAAAGGTATCAAAATTGAGTTAGAGCACAACCAAATGTAATCGTTCTGCACAATGTCCAATTTCAGAATAATGTAAAATATAGAAGAATGATCAGCTAAACGTGGACTGTTTTTGCAGAATGGATCTTTTCACAGTATTATATCATAATGGTTGTTATATTCTCCTGTTTCTATATGTGTAAGAGTATTTTGGTATTGTACTTGGTCAATGTGGACCAAATGTAGGTACTTGAAATACTTTGTAGATTATTAGAACAGTACTGCATACCACATCAGCATATGTGTACAATGTATCTGTGAGTGTTCAAATAAATGTAGTGGAGTAACTGTACAAATGACACTAGCCTCTATGTTGTGGAGTAGATGTACAAATATATTAAAAAAAGTACTTGAGTACCTAACATTTTGTAAATGGTTACTTTCCACCACTGCTTTGGGGATATACATACGTGGTGATTCAGGCTCAGGAGCATTTTCCAGGATTGTGAGGTTGGATCGACATCTGATGGGGCAGGTCCCCATGTTCTGTCTTATGATGATCAGAAAATGAACTTATTTCTGAAAAACAGAAGCACAGGGTGAGGAAAATGTCTTCAAAGGTCTTTAAACACTGAATTTGTTCTCTAGTTATCACACTGTGACTGAAAGTGCTTACAGGTACCACAGTGTTACCAGGCAGTGAGAAGATACAGGAAGCCGCCTCACCGCAACTGTGCTCAGTTTCCATGCAACTACTTTGCAAGGAATAAAATCTATAACATGACATATATTCAAAAAGATGAATAGAGGTGATTTTATACTTATTATGCAAACTGTTTTTCAATTTGAACAGGGACCTTTGAATAAAATATCTAAAATAAAATTTAAATATATTGGGCTTTTTAACATTTTACTTGTTAAAGACAACTTTTCATATTAAGAGCCTACAAACTATAAAAATAAATAAAATGTGTAAAAATAATACACATCGACAGAATACAAAAGAGTGTATTTTTCAGAAAAATAAAATGCCTTGAAAATACAACAATTATAGGAAAAAAGATCAAATTAAACTGAATTATATAGCACTTTTCATACACAAATGTAACTCAAGTGTTTCACAAACCAAATACATATAGACAGTTGACCAAAAATAAAAACGATCTCCTCTTCCCAGATAATAACCAGAGCGAAACATAGCGTTGTGATTTTACTTCAAACCAATACAGGACTGAATTAAACAGGAAAAAAAGTGTAAAATAAGAATAAATACAACAGTTAAAAGCCAAATTAAAAGAGAACGAATGATACTGACTAAAATAAGAAATACTCTTTATCTTAGTTTGTATTTATTTCATATAATTCACATCATCGGGCAATACGTTTACTCATATTGTGAAGTAATAAGTAATTTAACTGCAAATATACAATACAAGTTATCAGACAAAAGGTATTCTTACAGTAAAAGTTATTTAAGGAAAAGAATAAAAACTACTTTCATACCACAATCAGAGCAAGTACTCACCTTTCTTTCTGTATTTCAAAAATTCGTCCACAAATTATTTCCCACACAAGCAGTGAGTCCGACCCCTCTCAGATCAAAGTCCTTAATGATAAAGGCTGGTCTCTCTGCAGCACACACACAGAGGGCAGACTGTGAAATGCGTCCTCCCAGGCCTGCAGATCAATCACAGAGACTGTGCTCCCTCCTCTGAACACGGCTGTGTTTTTGCAGCTGTTGATAGAGAAGGCTGAGTGAAGAGGCTTCCTGGCGGCCTTTATGTATGTCACCCTGCTGCAGCTTCCTGTGACGCTCAAGACCTTCACATCCGGACTCAGAGCAGCTTGTGTTGATCTCTCAGATGCAGAGTGTTTTCACTGACACTGCATCACTTGTTTACGGAATGAACTACGTAAGCAGCGTTCACATCAGGTTCACATACATGACCCATGTGATGCAGACAGTTTGTGTGTATGGTGACATGTGTGGTTCCACTGATTCATTTGATCTGCTTTTAGCTGAGAAACACTGAGGCACATTTTCCCTGTCAGTCCCATCACGTCCAGTTACTGGTGGTCCTGTTGAACATCAGATCAGAGGATCAGCTCTGCAGAAGCATGACGAAGGTTCCCCTGACAACCCACTGCGGCTCCTATTCATCATCAGTCGTAAAGGGTATCCATCATGCTGACCCTGCAGAGTCAAATGGTAAAAGTGGAGCAATTTGACTGGCAATATGAATGCATTTTGTGCTCGTAAATCATGAAGGTGCAGTGGTGGAATTCAAGTATGTACATATACTCAAATAGCCTACTGTTGGCTCCTTAAATACATGTTTCCGTTGTCCTTTTCATGACATGTTGCTCTTCTTCTCCACTGTCAGAGAAACATATAGTACTTTTTACTCTACTTAATTTATCTCACTGCTATTGGTTATTGTACATATTAGATTTGACATAGAAAACGCATTGAGTGCCTTTACAGTATATTTAACTTGAGTTTAGTCAAGTAACCCTGTTGGTTAATTGGTCAGTAAATGAGTGCATGTTTTCACAATGGCTATTTTACCAATTGTTTAATGCAAACCATTGAACATCGGCCTCTCAAATGTGAAAATGAGCATCGTTCCTCGTCTCAAAATAGAAAAAACTGTTAACAAAACGGGATATTTGAACAAATGGATTTATAATAGTATAATGTATTCTGTGTGAATTTAGCACCCTTACGCATGGTGTGACCTCATCAGAGATGGTAGATATGATTATCTGGTTTCAGTTTCTGCTGAGAGGTGATCATTCTCAGATACTTATTGTCCTATTTCTTATCAGATGTTCTAATGTGGATGGAAAATGCCCAATAATCTTCAACAGAGTCATCACTACACCTTATGTTGTAACAACTGCATGTTAGCTCGATTGGAAAGTACATTTGAATCAAAAATCAAATCGTTCCATTCTAGTGCGGGATATGTTTCTCTAATCGGTTTCTATACTGCGTGTCACATTTGTAGATGTGTTATCGAACTCCACACTGATTTTTTAAATTATTTTATTAATTAAATGCCCCTTTTAGTATGTATCATAACTTTTTCAATAAGGTATTATATAAAATGGTTTAGGTTTCAGTGTTACAACAAGTATTTACAGGAGGGTTGATGCATGAAATCAGATTATATACTGAGAGAGGTTCATTTCTTCTGCCGGAAATTGAGGAACATTGTAGTTGCAAACGTGAGAAGCTAGAATACTAAGAAAAGCATTATCCATCACATTAACCTTTAGCCCTTTAGTCTCATAACAGTACACATTTTTAGTTTGAAGGCAATCTCATCATCTCATTTGCAGAGCAGTGGACCATTGTTGATTTTGACGTGTGCTAAATATAACTGAGGCTGTCACTCTGCGAGGAAACAAGATCGAGTGCGGTTGGAAAGTATCTCACCACAGTCACCTCACCTTTCCACTAACAGGAGAGGAAAAGTACACGAGTATTCACACAACACGTTCTTTCACTCACATATATAACTGCTTTGTTCGTGCATTTTTAGAATTATTGGCGCTGTTGTCAGTGGTGGAAAGTAACAAAGTACATTTACTTTATACATTAATTTACAAGTTACTTGTTAGACGCTTTTATCCAAAGCGACTTACATACTCAATACTGTGGGCAATCCCCACAGGAGCAATTTGGGGTGAAGTGTTGCCCAGGGACACAACGACATGCTGACTGCAGTGGGGTTTGAACCTGTGCTCCCCTGATCCGAACACCAACCCACTGATCCACTGTGCCACGCCGCCACTTATACTTCACATTTATTTAACGCATTTCATTAGCTACATTCATACTTGCCAACCCTCCCGATTTCATTGCCCTCTCCCGGGGTCATATTTCTCCAGATTTCTGACAAAATCAGATTTACTCAGGACTGTTTCCACTCGGACTTTACTACAGCTACACCATTGTTTGGTTTCCAAGGTAGCACGTCTCTTTAGTAGCGCGCGCAACTGAAAGTCTGAGAGGGTGAGGAAGCTATATCACAGAAAATAGAACAAGAATCGACAACTCTACCCTCTGCTCAATCCTTTCCTGTAAAATACAGGTCCAGCCCACACCTATGCTCCATCAAGGGTGGTGCTTCAGGCCGCAAGGCAGTGCACTTACAACTACAATAAGCATGTTAATGTTAATCTAGTACAGCTCCGGCGATCCACTAGCACAGCACCCCACCCCCCACGGTGGTTTTGAAATTCTCCCGATTTCCGAGGTCTCAAGGTTGGCAAGTATGGCTACATACATTGCAGGTATTGAGATGTAATACAGATTATAAAACGGACAAGTCAAATCAAGCAATCGGATTGGTTCTTAGCCGTGATAATAAACGAATATCACAGGTAGAATTGTAGTTACTTTTCACAACAAGTCAGTATCCCTCCGCGTCTGTGAAAAGCTACAACATTTACAACTGTTACATTACGTCCGTTACGAAACTAACTAACTAACAAAGCTTAAGATGGAAACATGTAAGGGATCATGTGCAGCAAGGACTTATTGACCGTTGTTAAGGACGCTCACATCTGCAGAAAGAAGTCCGGTCGATTTAACTGTATACAGTTGGGCTGAAAAGCAAACTGCATGCAAGGGCCGAACCACGCCCCTTAACTGTGATATAATGACCATATACCACGGCCTGTCGTGAGCTATTGCTTAAATATGAATCAACCAATACATCATTATGTATTAGTATAGGTTAAGCTACTCCGCAGTATATCCAGTTATTATTTTTAAATAATCCCCACCTTTACCAAGTGCCACATTGACATTAATGCATCAATAATAATCATAATACATATGATATGAGCCATACTGGAACATTAGTAGTTTTACTTTTTGTACTTGAAGTATATTTTGTTACCAATACTTTAACTTAACTACTAAGTAACATTTCTGAGTCCCCCCTGCATGTGTTGATAAATGAAGACACCAGCCGAGCTGTCATGTTGAAGCTTTATTCAGTAGTAATATAAATGAGTTGAATCAGCAGACAGTGAGAAGCACCACTGGCCCCTCAGAGAAGGGACTCAATACTTTTCACATCATGACCCACTTGTTAAAATCACTGACCAAAACAAAAATAAACACAGAAGAAAGAAAAAAGGGAGATGAGCTTCGTGACAAAAAGAATACAAAATAGGTGGAGTGATGCTGAAACACTGGTACACTACAGGAATGTTTTTAAAAGCAGCTCACTCCACAAGCTTGAGTTTAGATATGATGAAAGTGCGCTACAGTCTGCAATGCTCCTTCACTTGATTTCTGCAGCTACAGCAGGTCGAGTGATCCCTCTGTGCACGTTGTGACTAATTCACATTGCAGAACGTTTGGGATTCAAACACAAAGATAGAGTGGCTCAGAATCAATGAGTTTAGAGATCACCACAGGAGAGAGCCGGGTGTAGAACTGCATCATTTAAAAAAACACGTGGAGGATGTCTACAGTGTGTGTGAAGACATTTAAAACAAAGACAACGTGAAAATAAATAAATACAAGGGGTTAATGGTATCTGGTACAGGAATGTGACGTTGACAGTGTATTAAATATGATATATTTAATAATATGCATCTGTTAATATATTTATTACATCCTTTTCTAATCACATTACAGATCCTGCTGGCGTTTGAGTAGCAGGGTGAGAGAAAGATAGATAGAGGGGGAGAGAGAAAGAGAGGGGCACATAAGTTACTATGGGAATGTGCAGGGGGAGGGAGGGTGGGGGGGTTTGGGTTTAGCAGGAGACCTCCATGGTCTGGGGTCCGACCTGGTTGTCCAGACCCCCGGTGGCGCTGCCCTCCAGCAGGCTGTTGAGGTTGTTGCGGCTGCGACTGCTGTCCATGGAGGTGATGGAGGAGGAGGAGGCGGTGCGGGAGCGAGCCAGCCGAGTCATTCCTGCTGTCGCCACTGAAGAGAAAAACACATTGATATTCTGCTCACAGCGCGCAGGAGACTGCGTGGGAGCTAGGGCTGCACAGTTTGGGAGGAAGCACTGGGTGCGATTGCTTTCGAAAGATATTGCAATATATGTTTTGCTCTTTTAAAATAACAACGTATTCTTCTTGTCTTTCTATGCACCATTTACAACAAAGCAAATTCCTCGTATGTGTAAATCTACTTGGTAATAAAACCTATTTTGATTGTGATATCATTTGCGATATTAGAGGTAATTACATTTTCTTTTACTACAATACTTAACACAAACAATATTTTTTACATTTACCAAATATTGCGCTTACTGTAATTTGGATATTGCACCAGTCCATATGTTGTGCAGCCCTAGTATGAACACTTAAAGATACAAAGATGCAGCAACAACAAAAGTGCATAACATGCAAACCAATCTCAAATATGACAACTAAGTAAAACAAAAGTAAGATAAAATAATTGCATGTGTGTCCACTGTTGACAAATAAAATATGAAAGCAATACAACAGCAGAACACAGCATTGGCAATCCAACTGAAGTGAGGGAGGAAGCAGCAGGTCATGCAACAGAGATAGGACACCTAGGATCCATGCTGAAAGGGCAAAGTGAACTCCTACAGGGAGATGAATGTGTGTCAAAGTGTGCAGAGAGATGTCTCCCTGTGTGTGATACCGACTGTATCCTCCACACTGAGCGGCTGTCGAGTTCCAATCTGAAACAGCGCTCTTCGGAGAATTTCTGCATACACTGACATTCATCCACTCTGCAGTGTTTAAGGGCCTTTGGGTTCAAAGCATTCTAGTCTGGCAGCTGCTCGAGAACCTGATACCTGATTCGTTGCTCAGGTGACTGAGAAGAACGTAGGGAACTGTGAGCAACCATTAAAGAAGGAAGAGAGGAAGAGAAAGGGAGACATGTTGAATTGGTGCGTTGCTTTTTCCCACTCAGACTGAGGCTCTGTCGCAGCTCGGTGGTCGTTGAGGGCAAAATAAGAAATCTGTTTTCTGTCAACCGGTAAGAAATCATAGCGTGTGCAAACTAGAATTTTCTGTACTCTATGGCTGTTTCTCTTTTGCGTTTCACACTGTGGCAATGTGTTAAAGAGGGGAAAGCAGCTTTCGCTAACATGCTGAGGTGTTGAGATTTTCTCTGCGTGAAAACACCTCGTTTTAATCACTTTTAATCCTGCAGTGGCATTTCCTCGACAGGGGGACTCGGTGGCCTTTAAAGCAACACCGAGGCACCGGCATACTGCCTTCGCCCCAGGGTGCCTCCCACAGTGAAGGGTTTGGGAACGGGAGAGAGCAAAAGAGAATTAGCATGACAGAAGTACACACACACACAGACAGAAGTCATCTGTATGAGCAAGCAAACCTACATTAAACATCCATCCGTAGAGTCTGGTTTGCATTTTAGAAATAAATGTTTTCTTTGCAGATGAATGACCTGAAGGCCTGTTTAAGTATGACTCTCTCTAGAAAGAGACGGCATCATTAAACAGTTGTGGAGGGAAAAGAAAATCACACCAGGCAAAAAAACAGAGGGCATTTTCTGAACTGAACAGGAGTGAATTGTTGTTCAGCGTATCTGGAGTGACTCTGTCATTTCAGTCATGCTTGAAGCACTCAGGCCTCACCTACTGAGGTTTGTGGGGACCACACACTGCAAAGAGCAGAGAGGAAACTGCGTTAGCATCCAACGCGCCGTTGGGCTGCCTCTCCGTGACCAGCCTGACAAAAAGCCTGTCTTTTCACACACTGCTGGCCACAGGCCAAACCCCATCAGCAGGGGTGTTTAGCCACAGCTCATACGAGCCTGGAGCGAAAACAATCCTCATTTAAGCAACTGTTGGCAAAGCAGTCACGTCAACAGGAAACTCTGCAGAGAACATTGAAAAACCTCGACCACAAACACGTCAGACCTAAAAAGGTGTTGGCCTGTAAACAATTATTGGATGTTCGATATAGATTCGACAAGTTTCAACCGGTATCATTTTGTATTTTAGTTTTTTTAACAGCAAGTAGCAAAAGACATGTGCACTTACTGTAGCCCATTCCCTGAACAAAGTACTTGAAGGCCTCAGCAAGTTTCCCTGGCTGTGAACAGATGAAGGGTCAAAGTTAGAAGATATATTAGATAAAATAAAAGCTATATGAACAAAAGAAACCTGTAAAACGAACCTGCACAACTTGGGGTAAGCCTCCACAATCAGCCATCTAGAAAAAAGATCATTTTAATGAATACATTTTTACAGCCAAAGTAATTACATCATAAATGTATCTGTCAACAAATGAATAGCTTCACCTTTAGCAGTGTAGTCTTGATTGGATTTAACCTGGAATTACACTCCACCTAAAGACATAAATGAGAAGCTGAGTTAAATAAAGAAAAGATAACAGCAGAGCTTCCTGAGATGAACAGTGTGACTCACCACAGCCTCCACAGCAGGGGCCGTGTCACCGACCACCAGCAACGCAGGGCATCTGGACGGGAAGAATATGAAGCGTAAATATCTTCAAAACATGGCATTTTGAGATAAAAACATTTTATTTGTGTCTTCTTGGTCTCAAAACCTACTTTAGTGTTTTAACTGTGTCCTCGTTCAGACCCACGATTGGCCTCTCGATATCAAGGTCCTGACGGCTGGTGCAGGGAGACAAAATATGATTAGTTATTCAGATCTGGCCTACTTTTCCACATCTTAGAACAATTAAATGTGATCGAGACACCATACATGTGTGAACAAATGTACAGTGTATACTAATGTATGTTATCATACTATTGGTAGGAGCCACAGAAGAGGGCCAGGTTGTCCTGGTTGATGTCTTGAGCGATGTGGAGGCGGTAGGTCTGGATCAGCTCCAGGTTGTCGGACAGCTCATCCTGCGGGAAAGGGCGGAGTAAAACCTCAATGAAATGTGTCTTTCAGAGAAGCTGTTGGATTTGTATATCCAGTACGTCTAGCTCACAAAAAGATTGAGAGAGATTTTTTTAGGCAGTCACTTAACCTGCACAAAATTCAAAAAAAGAAATTGTGTGATTATCAAAACGCCTTGAAAGGGTGTAATGGACCCCTGCCTGTGTTGCCAGGCAAAGCAAAGTCTTGGAGCTCCTATGGATGTATTTAAATGAGTTGAAAATTGGCACCTTTCTATGCAAATGACCTCAAAAGCATGAATAGTCCAATTCCCACAGATCAGGGCTAATGGCCATGCAGTTACAATGAAATGCCTACAGAGATATGAAGGTGCCTGCAAGTTCTTTTTTAGGGAATTCATGATCATAGCACTGAATGATATTTCTCTTGTGTCTTTACGGCCCGTCCACACGGCGGCGTGCGTTGAAGCTTCAACGCTTCTGCCCATTCACTTTGAATGGGGTGACGTCACGCTTTGCCGAACTGCATTGTGGTTCCGTCGTTTCACGTTGCTCGCTTCAAAAGTTGAGCAATGTTCAACTTTTGAAGCTTCGACGGAAGCGTCAGTCAATCAAATCATATGCCAGTACAAGCTCTAGCCAATCAAAACGCGTGCTTGTGTGTCCGGGGCGGGAGATTCATGCGATTGGTTGTTGGTCGAGTTTCAGACACGCCCACCGGCAAGCTTCAACGCACGCCGCCGTGTGGACGCTGCGTTACATGTAAAATAATGACTTTGTCTTTTACAATTTCAAGGAATGCTTCTGAAAACAGCACGGACAGACTGAGATGTTAAATCCCAAGCAGTGCACTGTGACCCTGCCCTAAGTCTTAAATCCCTTGCCTTATGTTTTGAGGAATGCCTCTGAACCTCACGGGTCAGGACCTTTAGCTTATGGTCTGAAAATGTCCTTCCTCTCTGCTACCGTGCTGCCTGCTGTGTTCTTGGTGCAAAGGCTCCATTTATTCTTCAGGAGATGCAGAAAGCATTCAGCTGCAAAACATTATGGGCAATTTATTGCCAATCTATTCTTCTTGAATTAGCTTGGGAGTGTGTGATCCACATGTTACAATCTACCAGTGTATCTATTTTACAGGATGACAGAAATAGGATAATTAGTAAATGCCCCTCATAAGAGCGAGATGAAGCTAACTGTGTCCAGGGAAATCAGGAAAAGCCTCTTGAGGTTCAGTAAGTGTTTCAAATTGTCAATGAGAAAGGTCAAAGCACATGAAGAGTGAAGTAGTGAAGGAGAGACTCACGGCGCTGAAGTGGTGAGACATGATGATATCCACAAGATCACTGGTCCATCCAGACAGCTGCACAGAGAGGAGCATCCAGGTGAGAAGACAGGGACAACAGCTGATTTATCATTTATTTATTCATGAGGTTTATACGTAAAGAAGTGTATTCACTGATTTAATGTTGGATTTTGACATTTATAAAAGAAGACAATACACAAAGAGGCAGTATTAATGTTAAAGAAATAGTAATATTGTCTGTCTGTCCCTTTCTCCATGATTACTGTTACTTTCCATAAAAACTCAATCGTTATCTTTTAGTAAAGGACGTCATCTCTCCATCATGTTTCTTTTTTTACATTTGGCTTGGTTGAGCAAAATAAAAACAAAACAGATGAAGCGTTTTGTTTTTAAAGTATGTGGGACGAAGGTCAGCCCACTCCTACATAACTGCGCTCAACAATAACACGACAAAGAATGTTCTCGCAGTCACACACAAACCACACTAACCACACTCACTAACTAACCTACACACGTTATTGTGACCCATCTTGTTCTGCACTTAGAGCGAATGATTACACTCAAAATGAAACTGATATAAATGAATAAACATTAGTAGTGATGTTTGTTGTACTACACTTGAATATGTGAACATTGAATATAATCAAAAAATGTTCGTCCAGTCAAATAAGAAGCTTACATTTGATTTGAACTTTGAGTACCCGAGCATTGCAGGTATAATCAAATGAAAACAGGATTACAGTCCCTACCCGGGTTCTTCATTACATTAATCCAACACTTGTTAATCTTACACTTTTCTCAAGTTCTTTTTAAATCTTAGTAAAGACTTTAAGTTATTTTATTCATAACAATACTGTATACTATTATATCAAGTATATAGTGAGTATAATCAGTGGCTCTGAGTCAGCATCCAGTATTATATAATCTTATTTAGTTATTGCATTATATATAAACTATGCTAAGCATGAATGATATACAACAGTGAGCCTGAAATAGTGTGTTTAGGGTACGGCATTAATCAATAACAACCTGACAAATGGCAGGAAACTGAACTGAAATGGCTGCTTAATTATTCAAGTGTAGTCAGTATAAATAGCTTGATGTTGCAGAGAGCACTGAGGATGCTGCAGCGGTGATACTGACCTTTGAAGCAGCCCAGTCGATCCAGCCCTCAGCACAGGGGTCCACATTGATCAGAACCAGACCCTCCACCAGGCTGGGGTGGTTCAGCTGGGGGGGAAGGATGCATGTCAGGGCCAACTTGTTAAACATTTAGATAAATAAGATATTCCTACATGGGCGTATTCTTGCATTATGCGTCCTGTGGTGCGACTACAGCTTTCACGCTTGTATCAGGGTACATGCAGGAATCCTGAAGTCACATGTAATTCCTTTTAAGACCTTTTTTAAGACCCTTTCCATACATTTTAAGACCTCATCGCCACTTGGAGTTTTAACCGGTTACCTTGGCGACACACTTTACCTCACATTGACTATATACAGTATTGATTGTCCTTCCTCCTCATCTTCCAACCATTTGGACGCAGACTTGCATTTCCCCATAACGACGTTGGTTAGCAACCGGCGTAAACGGACCTTCACGCTATCAAGCAGTGAGCGTGCGATGTCCTGTTCAGATGACGTCAAACCCAACGGGATGCCATAAATAAACTACACAGAATCACACAACACACCTACGCAATGATTACATTCAGGCAGACTGTAGAATACAACCTCTGTGGACCATTTATATACTTATTGAAAACAAGATACAAAATGTAATACCTTGGAAAATGCCGTTTAATACTTTTTAATAGCCTTAATTTTCACTAAATTGATTTATCAACTTTTAATACTCTTTAAGACCCCGCGGACCCCCTGTGTATAAACTTACAGTGTCGTTTTGTCAGTGGACTAAAATCATTTTGCCTACCCAATGCTTCATCGTCAAAATGAAAACGTTGTAATCTTATTCCCCAGGGTTTTATGAATAATTTGAACAGTGCACACACAGATTAAATCCACTGCAGTGTTCTCCTATATGACATAAAGTGAAGAATGTCTGTTCGTTTCAATTAAGCGACATAAAACAATGAGATGGAAAACTGGGCTTTTAAATTAAGGGGTGCGGTTTTGGAATAGCCTGGAAACAGAAAGAGGATGTCTGGGGAAATCTAAGATCCATCTCACTCGGTGCTGAGGAAATACTGCGGAGGCTGCTCTCAACACGATGCAAATGCAACAGCTGCTATAAATCTATCAAGGGTAAACCCATTTTGTTCCAAGGCGGTAGGAGCAAATGCACTTCAGAATCAATGGTCTTCATTAATTCTAAACAAGAGCCGACTCCTTAGAGAAACTGCTGGTTCTCCTGCTAATCCTGTTCCCTTTTTACCCTGGACCACCATCCTCTTTCTATAATTCATCTTTCAACGCTTCCTCGCTCCTCTCTGTCACTCCTGGCTCTTTCTGCTCCATTGTACAAATGCTTTGAGTGCAGAAGCAAGTCGTAAGCAAGTGAAAAGGAGATAAATCGCCACGGTGATTCATCATTTGGGGAGTGACGGCGAATGCAGCAGACTGTGGAGAGACCTGCTGGCCTGTGTGGGCTTTGATGGGAGGCTTTAATGTTCAACAAGCTGTGTGGCCTGAAATCCTACAGTTATTATAACAGGCGAAAACAGATCGGAGGGGGCGATAACACAGGAGAAATAAAGGGTGGTCCTGATGGGGACTCACTGCAAAGAGGGAGAGGATGTAGGCTCCTGCTCCCACGCCGATGCCGATCATGCTGTTGACCCTGCGGAGAAACCATTGGTTACAGCGAGACTGTCGACAAATGGTCAATTAATGCACATGATCATTGATCAGCTCAACACAGGTCACACTCACTTTAGCTGAGTCATCACAGAGGGCAGCATTTCAGCCAGCTCCTCCATGGTGGGGTAGCGATAACTGGAAACAGATTAAATACATGAAAGTCGATTGTGAGTATGAGGTCATTTCATCACGTTTGAATTAATCAAAGGAGTTGAGTTTATGACAAATTGAAAAGCTCAAATCAGGGCTGTGCAAATAATCGTATTTTAATCTCGATTTTGGCTTGCAACGATTACGAAAGCAACGTAATCGAAATAAAACGATTATTATTATTTTGTATTGGTTTTTTAGTTGAATTATACTTAAAGTTCAGGGTAATTAACTGTTAAAAACATATCATTCACATTTTTTTTCAATAAATGGATGTCTTCAAAGTAAATGGATAATTGTTTTTAATAATCGTGATATCAATTATTCACCCAAATAATCGTGATTATGATTTTTGCCATAATCGCACAGCCCTAGCTCAAATGTTTCCTTTGTTATTAACAGGAGGGAAAATGAGCAAATGAAGCTCCAGCTCATTTTCCATTCTCAATTGAAAAAATGGATTGCGGCATATAAAACTGAGTCTCCATTTAAGTGAGTTAAGTGCATGTAAAACTAGTGTGAAACCCACCCGCTGGGGAAGGGAGGGGCACCCTCCTGCTGCCCGGGCGCGTCCACGTGAACCACTGCAAAGTGCTGCGTGATCTCCTGCATGTCCTCGTAGTTGAACAGGGTGTTGAAGCATGACTTGTCTAGAAAGGGAGAAAGTTCAGGAGTTGAATCTTTGCAGACGAGCCATGTGGGACCGTCAGAAGCTAAAACTAAACGCTGTCATCACATCCAGGACATTGTGTATCGATGAGTCTATTTTTGGCGGACTCACGGTTGAGGCCGATGTCGTGATAGGTGAGGATGACGGGTCTGTTGCCCTTGGGAACGCCTCTCATCGTCACATGGAGAACGCCATGGGGAGTCTCAATGTCATGCTCCTGCAGCCACAGAGAAGAAGAAAGAGAATGGGTTAAGAATGATGTACGTACTCTGTGTAAAGAGAAAAAGCTTAAACGGAAGAGGAAGTATTCCCCTCTTTTAATGTGACATGTGAGTCGTCTGATTCAGGACAGCCAATGACGGCACATACCAATTTGTTTATGGCTCAAGTAATAAATAAACAATTCTGTCTTTGAAGCCTTTTAAAGATTTGTTGCCCCAAAACTCCAGCATCTTCCAAAAACTACTAAAATCATAATAAAAGGAGCCATTTGGTGTCATATTTCTTCATGAACATGGTCTTTGCAGTTCAGTTATTTTCAGCTTTCCAAACTAGCAGAGGAGTTTGGGAACTACATCCTTGAGCATTCTCAGTGTTGCTGAACAACCCATCAATGATCACTGGGGATGCAGCTGAGGGCTGTTTCCAAATCTACAACATGTGTCCATGTTCATTGTAGTGGATGTCATCAAACGCAATGGCACAGCGCTAATATTTGGACACTAATGGAGCTCTATTGCATGGAAAGACGAGCTACAGTCGCTCAGGCTACACAGACAATGTTATTAGTGACATACGATAGTTTCAGCTTTGAGAAACAATTACATTTACCACAACGCTTTATCAAGGCTGGAAAACAGCTGATTTTAGATTTCCTTAAAGTAATCAGCCATTGTCGACAACATTGGAGTCTCAGATTCAGGATGCAAAGCATGCACCGCTCCTCCAGCACACATTCCTTGTAGCCTTGGACAAACAGAGCACAGAATAGGCTCACTGGGAAAGTCTTTTCAGTCCATTTATCCGAGGGTCTGAAACTCAGTGCATTCACAAAGTATGACTGCAAAAATAAAATGTCTTTGCAGAACCCATTAACATTCCAAGAGCTCACACCAGCTCCCTTCCCTACATAGCCTTTGTTTGAATATCTTCATCTATCCAACATGAGCAAAGAAGACATTCAATGGTTTTAGCTGACACCCACTGGAAGACTCTGAAATGTGATTAAGATAAATCAGGGGGATTAGTTAAAAGATGACAACAAGAGGCCGTCATGAATGTTTCATGAGCCAGTGATAAAGGAAGTGACATAACGGGAAGCGATAAAATATACAGGAAGTGATAAAGCCAGAATCACAGCATCACAGAAACACACCCAAGGTCAGCATGACATAGCTACGTGTGTGTGTGAGTGTGTACTGCACGGGCGTAGCCGAGCGCTCGCCTGGTCTCAAGGACCACTGGTCATCAATAATAAAGAGAGCGTGTGCGGACGAGAGGCACCGGTTACGGCTGACAGACACAGAGTCCGACTGTGTCGCCCTCCGGCTCACCACTGCAGACATTTGTCCGATGGATGTGTGTCACACTCTCCACAGAGGTGGTGAAGCGACTTTCTCAAGGACGAGGCTGCAGCAATATACATCTGCAATCTGTAGTGGACACAGTAACACAAAAGGAACAAATGCTGCTCTCGTTGTGTGGGAGTTGCTATAGAGATAAGGCAGTCGCACAAAACATGAAAACCAATGGAAACGCTCAGTCTGTGTGCTACAATGTAACCTCTCAACCGGAGATGGAACAAACCATGGAGATACTGTGTTGCGGACAGTTAGCCTTGCACCTATCAGAGACCTTTCCACAGGAGATAATGAAGTGACTCTGCAACCTCGGCCTGGTGGGGGTGCAGAACAACCTGTAATAGACTCAATTTGCTACTGCAGAATTGTTTAGCTTTGACACAAGGACAGAGTCAAGGGCACTGGAAAAGAGAGGCTTTGCTCTAAGAAACAAGGCAAACGCACGTGTGCAAATGCAGGCCTTCTGTCATGTACTGAACAGTCGCTGGAGAAAGCAGGCAAGTACGCCGGTCCAGAGATAGGCAGTACATTTAAAGAAAAAGGTGATGGGAACCTAGTGGGGGGAGATGATTAGATAAAACAAAAATATAGCCTGGAAGGCGGTTTGGAGGAAATGGAGCGTGAAAGCAGGGACAGAGAAAAAAGAGAAGACAGGAGGAGTCCTGTATGACTAAGAGAAGGATGCGTCTTAAAACAGAAGGGCCGCATTAATGTATCATGCCTTTCCAATCATGTCCTGGCAAAAAAAACAAGGGGTAGAGAATAATGGAGAGAGATTACCCTTTATGTATCCATTTAGCTCCTGGTGACATAGCTGTATTGATCTGGGAGTGCTGCCTCCCACCATTTACTTTCACAGATATGTGTGTACACACAGCAGCATCTCAAGAAATCAGACGCGGGGTGTGGCGGCTGGCCGACAGCTATAGAAGGAGAGCACTGGAACCCTTTTGTTGTCTTTAATACATCCATGGCGGCTAGTAGAAGGACAATAAGTGTGTGTGGATGTTTTAGGGGCAGGTGAGAGAGGAATACAGAGTAGGGGGTTGTGCTTTGAGGAGAGGGGCTTCATGAGGCATTTGGGTGTGTGCTCCCACAATCAAGGAGGGTGAAGGAGGTTAAAAAAAAAAGGAGAGGAATGTGTAAGTCTGCTCCTCTTCCCGCAATCCCTCCCTTATCAATCCCTCCTCCCCCTCCTGCCTGTTTTCCACGCCCTGCCAGGACAGACATCAATCTCCCCAGAGAGCAGCATTACAGGGCAAGAAACACCAAGCAGCCCCCATCAGGCTGCAAAGCAATTCAACGTACACACAGACACACATGTGTACTGTATGCATGTTCTCCAGCGGGATCATCCCAGGTACATGTCCCCCTACTCTCTTTGCCACAAACACAGCCCCCCTGCCTGCAGCACACATCATGAAGCAGGGGGAGGAAACGGCTAACTCTCTGCACAAAGTCTCTGCAGCAGTGATTTTTGTCGTGCAGTGTGTGTAGGGGTGAGTGACCTCCCTGCTTGTTCTACGTGATAACAGAATTAGAAAACACAATGCTGGCACTATGAGCCATCTACAGCCGCTCTCAGGCCAAACACGCATTCCTGCAGTTATTGAAAGACCTGAAAATACTCATTTGAGACGCACTGGAACACGCAACCCGAAACACAGAACAGAAACACTGACTGCACGTACACATCATTTTGTTGTGGCGTTTGCAGATTCAGAGACACTTGGGCACTGAACACATGCATCTTTCATACCCTCACATTAAAATGCACCACTGCACCCTGAGCATGTTTAGGCTGTGCAGACCGCACACATGGACACGACACACACACACACACACACACACACACACACACACACAGAAAAAGCCCAAAGTCACAGCCGTCTGCTAAACGTGGTGACAGGCAAGCCAGGAAAGACCCCCCACCAGCTTTTCCCTTCCCAGAGCCAGCTGCTGTCCCCTGCTTTAGGGAACCCGCACAACAACCCCCCCCCCACCACCACAATATGAATCTGCAAGGACCAAGCCAGGTGTGTCATAGCAGGCAAGATGCATTTGTCACTCACCACTCCATTCCCAGAGCATGCAATCTGGTCCAGGTCCAGAATAGCTGACATGTTTTCCCACGCAGGAGAGCAGAGTGTTATGCTATGTGCAAGTGTGTGCTGGGCAGCTCTGAAGGTCTCCAAGAGCAGGAGGAGGAGGGCGGGAGTGTGATAGGAAGGGAGGGATGTGAGGGTGAGGCAGCAGCGACAAGGAAGACGGAGAAGAGAGGGAGGAGAAAGACACAGCAGAGGAAGTGAGGAGGAGATGGGTAAATAATCTGAATGGAAGCAGAAGAAGGAGGAGGGGTCGGATAAGATGCAGAGAGAACAAGAGAGGATGTGGGAAAGAGAGCAGGGAAAAAGAGACAGAGAGGGGGAGGAGAGTGAGACTGCAGTTTGTGCTTTGTAGTCACAGCGCGTCCGTGCATCCAGCCACCGGTGCGTCTAATTGGATTGCAGCGGGTCAGGTGGGTAGAAGGAGAGGGGTGGCGCTTAGAGGAGAAAAGAGGAGGGGGAGGGTGGATGGAAGATGGGGTGCAAAGGATGCAGAGGCAGACCTGGAAAACGGGCAGGCTGCTGACGTCACAGCGTGATAAAGTGAAGAGAGAGGAGGCTGACTTTGACAGCTTTCCTGGGCTGCATCAGCAAAATGGCTGCTGAGATTTAGCATCAATCGCCCAGACTCACGTTCGCTTCACCTTGCTGAGGGAGAAGAGTGAGTGACCTCAGCATCCGGATAACAAACACCTCAACACCTCAGACCCTGATATAACCCTGCAAAAGAGTAGTGTAACATGCAGCATACACCATCAATAGCTCTGCTGCCAATGTCACTGCAGCACTAGCTCCAGTATTCGTCTCAGTATTGATATTCAGCAGATAACCCTCATTATGTTGCAGGCTTACTGGAAAGTAAAACCCACAACGAGCTACTATTTTTACACACCACCCTACATGAGGATCCATTTCCTCTGAACCCGTCTCTGAATCATTTGATCCACATAGTTTATTGATTTCTCCTTTCCTACTCTCCTCTGTCGTCTGCTAGCAGTGCAGAGAGTCACGCTTCTGTGTGAGACAGACAGCTCTGTGCAGCCAATAAATAACATGCAGACAGCACAGAGTGGGTGGGCTTACAGAGAGAAGGGGGACTTCATTGGTGGGTTGGTATAGCAGCATGTATGGTTGCAAATTCTCCTCTAAATGTTCCCTGTCCTAACCCACAGAGGGTGCCACTGACACACATGTAATGCATGTATTTCAGGAAATAAACACTTGATATGCAGACGAGACAAACAAGTTAACATGTACTGCTTTCGCAACGCAAGGTTTGCAAAAAACAAATAGTTTGCAGTGTGTTTATTACCATGTCCGGTCATTCAAGGCACATTGTGGAGAGAATATGACTCATTTGACGAATACTGTGACGTTACACCAGATTATGATGTTCAACTCATGACGATTGTGTGTGGAACACATGTTTACCGTTTCCTCGACAGAGCAGGAGCCTCTTTGTGTCACACACTGACTGTATAAAGGTCACACACAGTCATTGTGTCTCAGCAGGGCTCCGCGGTCTGAGGAGCAACACGGCCATGCAATGCGCTCGGATCTGCAAAGCTAGTTCTAGTTAGAGCTTTGCATCGACACTGCCAGAATCTGAGGTTTATTACCTCTCGTAAATCAATTTGATTTGATTCAAATAGCCCAATATTACAGATCACACATTTGTCTCAAGGGGCTTTAATTTGTGTACAGCATGCAACGCCCTCTATCGTTAGACCCTCGCAGCGGACAAGGAGAATCCCCCAAAGAAACCCCACGATGAACAGGGGGGAGAACCCTCAAGACAGCAACAAATGAGGGACACCTCAAACATGGAAAAGATGTCCAAGCATATTAAACCTGCACAAGCATAGGACATTTTTATTAAACTGTGGTAATTTGTTATGACGTGAAGTATCACATGACAAAGGACATTTTTATAATCCGTCTCAGACTACATATCTGCGACAAAACACATTTAAAATAGATGATCAACGACAGTGAAGCATAGTGGACTAAAAAACTATCACCCAGGCCTCGAGCCACACAGTGAACAGGCTTATGGCGCCCTCTGCTGAGCTTACTGAGACAGTGAAGAACACAAGAAAGCCAAAGACATGACTTGGCAGCCATTTGTCTGAAAAGCTTCTACTTGTCTTTGTGTAGCAACGTTACAAGGTCAAAAAGACAAACATTTAACAAAACCGGACATAACCAGGAAATGACAAACCTTTAATGACTAACAACACATTACAGGGCACGTTACTCCCTCACTGGAGTGGGACCATGGGACAGCTCAACAAAATCACGCCTGTTAGCTCTCCTGGCTCCAAAACGGTGGAACTAGTTCACCATTTATATCAAGACAGCAGATATCTACACATCTTCTGCTGCAGACCTTACAGGTTAGCACTTACAATGGTTTGGCCTATTGAGAACTAATGTACTTGCAGGATTCATGCTTTTTTGAGGTTGTGTTTTCATGTTAAATGATGCACTTATTGTAGGTTGCTTTGGAAAAATGTTCAGCTAAATGAAATGTAATAATAGAGATACAACTGTAGTGTCACTGCACAGAGTACAAGAACTATGGCAGTTAGCATATAACCAGAAGTGCAAACCTTCTGGATAGTATTAAAGTGCAGTGTAATGTATAGTATATTATAAATATGACTGATAACAACAAATTATCTAATCGTGCAAATTACAAGCTAAAACATCACATGCATTCAGATCAATGGAAACCATCTCAACATTTTGCTCTCCACCACAAACACCATTCACCCTGAGATGTTCTATTTTTAAAATGAACAGTCAGCCATTTCCATGAAGTAACCTGGCGTTCCAGAGTATGCACTTTAAAACCCAGTCGGTCTCATGGGTGGCTGAGGCTGAGTCACACCTTCCTCCCCCTCCTCACGTCTCTGTGGTGTAAGCAAGACATCTGGTCAAAACTGCAGTACCACACCCTCCATGTTCTCCTCTCTGACCCCACCCCACCACCACTATAACCGCCCTCCTCCTGCAGGTGCAGAGGGTGTGATACGTTGCAGTACCTATGGGCGCCTCTAGTAGGAGCTTTAGTTGTAGTCTAGAGGAGAGCAGCTGGATTTGTCCTCCAGCTGCAGGAATGTCACATCATCTCTTAGAGTGATGGTGTAACGTGAGGACCCCTCCCCCACACACGATATATATTCTTATGATGTCTGCTGCCTTGAACTGCATGTACGCTCTAGTAGTTTTTATATTACTAAACTGATTAGATTGTGGTAGTCAGCTGCAAACAAATAATGCTCCTTATTTAAATTACATCACATTGGAGCTTATATCAGTTCATGTAAAACCAGCAAGCAGAAGCCTGTCCCACACAGAACATGCTTAAGATTAACATCGCAAAAAGTATATTCCATTTTTTATATTTGACACTGAGTGGAAGAAGCAAACATTGACTCATGTGTGAGGAATGCATTTTTATATAGCCAATATTTTGGGTTAAACAGCTTGCAACGGGGATACTGCAACTTATCCCAGAGACTGGGGATATTTGCTAAATTGCTATTCAGGATAGCTAACTCCTTTGTTTCAGAATGTCGCCCCTTTAAAACCAAATAATACATACATTTTCTAACATTTTCATCCAAAAATTCAGAAGGAGGATATTTTCTTGCTGCTCTTTAAATAAAACAACAAGTTCTAGTTATTCTTAAGATTTCAACTCATTTGACATAAGGCCTTTTTCATAAGAGACATTGTGTCTCGTCATTGTGGGAAAATCTCTATTCAAATGATATTCTATATGCAATTCAGTTATTATTTAAGAACCTGTGCTTTTACTGGTTTGATATGCAGAAATGTCTTCCATGAAAGAGGACAGGTATTCTATCCATCGAGTTCACACTGTGTTGAAAAGCATTCCAAACAGCCCTACGAGGATCTGTCTGAATAATTCCTTTGGACTCCTGAATGTGACTGGGTGAGGTCAAAATGGCTGCCATGGAAAATAGGTTGAATACACTTAAGTCTGCCTCAATTCCTCTGAGACAATCCTGGTTCAATTGTGTCTTTAAAGTACAACTGCAGCAGCTGATATGAATCCCATAGAGGGGGAGTGCAAAGGAATATGGCACTCAAATGATGAGCAGCTGCAGCATGTGATGAATGCTAATGTTTCAGTGACAATGCAGACAGGATCGGAGCATGTAGCATGCTCCTGCTAACATGCAATCCTCTCCTCCTGTGCCTGCAGGAGCTATATTTAGCTCTGCTGGGATGCTGGATGCAGCCATGACTGCAGAAAGTAAGAGGGAGGAAAGATTTAACCCTTTGCTGCCTTGATGCTCATGAAACACAGCAGACAGAATGCTCGCCAGTGGGGAGTCAATGCTCATGCAAGAGACTCCTTGCAAGGAAAGGAGGAGGAGGGCTGGCAACCCCGCTCCCGACGCAGAGAAACCATCAAAGAAAGGTCTGGAACAGTGCCCGCTCAAGGCCAATCCAGCTTTTTTCTTTAATGATAATTATTAACACATCAAAAGATCTGACTGTGGTTGAAATGCCGCAGCTTCTGTAACACAGAAACAATCGCATCTTGCCGTAGAAGACTTTTTCTGACACAACTATAAAAAGATATCTGGAATCGCTGCACTTGTATATCTCTTCCCGACATGTACTAAAAACAGGACAGTCTCTAGGGGAAGTGTTCTAACTGAACAACTGGCCACGTTATTTGTAAAGCTCTGCAGAGGAGGATGAGTCCAATAAGTCCTCGGTGTATTTACTTTGATGGCACGTTGCCATTATTGCAGGGTTTGGTAGTAGCACAGGGGAGCGAGGGTGTGTTGCTAAAGGCTTTGTGTTTAGAGCAACAAGCAATCGCAATGCTTACTTCTTATAACGTATATCCAGAACCACCAATGTGATTGGATGTTAGCTTTTCATATCAGGACACATGATCTGCAGTCCACAGAATCACTAAAAAGTGACTAACATATACATCCATGCAAAACAAAGAAAACCTCAATGTAATAGGTTTAATATAAAAAATAGAGCCAATCATTTTAAATGTCTATTACTTAACCTATATGTCACCAGCGTGTGTTGTGCAGTAAATACATGCCTGTGAGGATGAATGTAGGGCATGTAAACAAGGAGGGGGAAGGCAGAAAGCCCCAACCCCCTTCTTCTTACACAACAGCATCCCCTAAATCAGGGCATAACAAAGCGTTGTGAGGGAGCGGAGAGCAACACTCACCTGGCAGTCGAAATCCTGAAAGTTGCGAGCATTCTGCAAGAAAAGAGAGAGGAGGATTACATACACACCATG